GGAACTTTGCAGATACACAATAAACAAAAATATACAAGAACGTATTGTTTTGAGCCAAAGCAGATGCTCACCACAGACATGGCGGATACTGAGTTTTTCAATGACTTAGGTTAAGAATTGCGGAGTTATGCCCCTTTTTTGTATTTGTACATGTAGACATCGCCCTCGTGTTTTGACGTCATAGCGGAGAATTTATTTTCGCGACATAAAACAAGTACGTTTTCGTATCGAATATCACGTTATGCATAATCGTACAATTCTAATATATCTGTCTCATGATGTTGTTCGGATGTAAGATATATTTTGTTCGCTCACAGTTTACATAAAGCTGTCAAATAAAACATTTCGTCGAACTGTACTTTGTCTATGTACGATCAATTGTGGCTAAATATTTCAGTGGCTTTCTCGTAAGCAAAACAGAAACTTGGACAACATTTAACATATTTTGCTTTTTAAACCAGTCTTTAATTTTCCATCATAGGGTTAAAAATTCAATAATATACAAGTCCGTTAAATTGCAAAGTCAGAGGTTGGTCCAGTACTGCGCAACGGCAATTCTCGCACAGCGTTGATTTTTCAAAGCTATGCGTCTGAAAATTAACTCGGCAACCAGGATTCCAGCGATAATGTAGTAAATCAAAAGCATTTTGTGAGAGATCTCGCGAGACCCGAGTTGTATGCAACTCGCCGCCGTGTGAATGCCGAGTTGTATACAATTTCAGTTCGTGCAACTAATTGCATACAACAAATTGTATACAACTAGTTGTACCGTGTGAATGCCTTAAGTCAGGGTATGAAACTCCCAAAGATTTCAGCCAGACCACAGGACTGGCTAGCTGAAATACTTGCCCGCCCTGACCAAAACCTGCCTGCCCACTATAAGCATATGTTTCTCAGGATAAGCTAACGGGGTTTCTTTTTGGTTACATTTTATCATTCATCTTTACATGTGAATTAATGCTTATCATCGGGAAATATTTTGAATATTTTCACATATGAAATATAACCCGACCGTCGGGCAGGGGGATTTGCAAATCTGGCAGCCCGAGTTGAAATCAACCCGTCTCGGACGGTCGGACAGGCAGGTATTTCGAACACTGCTTAAGTCACATGATTAGTGACAAATATAGATGTACATTTATACCCATCAATACTCAACTTCTTATACTCTGTTTGCCCAAAGCAAAATCAAGAATCACTTGTGGTCAAATTGCCCATCGTAAGTACCAACTGTACATATTTCTGGTTTCTTTCGGGATAAATAACTTGCACATAAAATACGGGTTAATGCGAAGATTCTTCAACTTTCTAAAACCACTGCGTAATAAAACGGACAGTATAGATAACCAAGTTATAACAGCAGGGATAATAATTAGAAGTTCACATTTCCACTTGAGAAATATGCATATGTCACATTTGTGTTTCCGATAGAATCAAATATATAAAGACACCTTGAAACACCCGTAAAATACACTGAGACACATTGAAATACACTGAAACACCTTGAGAAACATCAAGACACCTTGAAACATCCTGAAATGCACTGAGACACCTTGAGAAACATCGAAACACCTTGAAACACATTGAGAAACATCGAGACACCTTGAAACACCCTGAAATGCACTGAGACACATTGAAATACACCGAGACACATTGAGAAACATCGAGACACCTTGAAACACCCTGAAATACACCGAGACACATTGAAATACACTGAAACACTTTGAGAAACATCAAGACACCTTGAAACACCCCGAAATGCACTGAGACACATTGAAATGCACTGAGACACCCTGAGAAACATCGAGACACCTTGAAACATCCTGAAATACACTGAGACACATTGAAATACACTGAAACACTTTGAGAAACATCGAGACACCTTGAAGCACACTGAAATGCACTGAGACACCTTGAGAAACATCGAGACACCTTGAAACACCCTGAAATGCACTGAGACACCTTGAGAAACATCGAGACACCTTGAAACACCCTGAAATACACCGAGACACATTGAAATACACTGAGACACCTTGAGAAACATCGAGACACCTTGAAACACCCTGAAATGCACTGAGACACCTTGAGAAACATCGAGACACCGTGAAACACCCTGAAATGCACTGAGACACCTTGAGAAACATCGAGACACCTTGAAACACCCTGAAATACACCGAGACACATTGAAATACACTGAGACACCTTGAGAAACATCGAGACACCTTGAAACACCCTGAAATGCACTGAGACACCTTGAGAAACATCGAGACACCGTGAAACACCCTGAAATGCACTGAGACACCTTGAGAAACATCAAGACACATTGCAACACCCTGAAATGCACTGAGACACCTTGAGAAACATCGAGACACCTTGAAACACCCTGAAATACACCGAGACACATTGAAATACACTGAGACACCTTGAGAAACATCGAGACACCTTGAAACACCCTGAAATGCACTGAGACACCTTGAGAAACATCGAGACACCGTGAAACACCCTGAAATGCACTGAGACACCTTGAGAAACATCGAGACACCGTGAAACACCCTGAAATGCACTAAGACACCTTGAGAAACATCAAGACACATTGCAACACCCTGAAATGCACTGAGACACCTTGAGAAACATCGAGACACCTTGAAACACCCTGAAATACACCGAGACACATTGAAATACACTGAGACACCTTGAGAAACATCGAGACACCTTGAAACACCCTGAAATGCACTGAGACACCTTGAGAAACATCGAGACACCGTGAAACACCCTGAAATGCACTGAGACACCTTGAGAAACATCGAGACACCGTGAAGCATCCTGAAATGCACTGAGACACCTTGAGAAACATCAAGACACCTTGAAACACCCTGAAATACACTGGGACACATTGAAATACACTGAAACACTTTAAGAAACATCAAGACACCTTGAAACACCCTGACATACACTGAGACACCTTGAAATACATTGAAACACCTTGAGAAACATCAAGACTCCCTGAAACACCCCGAAATGCACTGAGACACATTGAAATATACTGAACCACCTTGAGAAACATCAAGACACCTTGAAACACCCTGAAATGCACTGAGACACATTGAAATACACTGAACCTCCTTGAGAAACATCAAGACACCTCGAAACACCCTGAAATGCACTGAGACACATTGAAATACGCTGAAACACCTTGAGAAACATCAAGACATCTTGAAACACCCTGAAATGCACTGAGACACATTGAAATACGCTGAAACACCTTGAGAAACATCAAGACACCGTGAAACACCCTGAAATGCACTGAGACACATTGAAATACACTGGGACAAATTGAAATACGCTGAAACACCTTGAGAAACATCAAGACATCTTGAAACACCCTGAAATGCACTGAGACACATTGAAATACGCTGAAACACCTTGAGAAACATCAAGACACCTCGAAACACACTGAAATGCACTGAGACACATTGAAATACGCTGAAACACCTTGAGAAACATCAAGACATCTTGAAACACCCTGAAATGCACTGAGACACATTGAAATACGCTGAAACACCTTGAGAAACATCAAGACACCGTGAAACACCCTGAAATGCACTGAGACACATTGACATACACTGGGACAAATTGAAATACACTGAACCACCTTGAGAAACATCAAGACACCTTGAAACGTCCTGAAATGCACTGAGACACATTGAAATACACTGAAACACCTTGAGAAACATCGAGACACCTTGAAACACCCTGAAATGCACTGAGACACATTGACATACACTGGGACAAATTGAAATACACTGAACCACCTTGAGAAACATCAAGACACCTTGAAACGTCCTGAAATGCACTGAGACACATTGAAATACACTGAAACACCTTGAGAAACATCGAGACACCTTGAAACACCCTGAAATGCACTGAGACACCTTGAAATACACTGAAACACCTTGAGAAAGGTCGAGACACCGTCACCCTGAAATACTGTTAAAAAATCCCCGATTTATCTCCTAAATCACATCATATAAAATTTACGTGTATAACGAACAACGGATATAACGAACTGATTTCTCTGCTCCCTTGTAGTTCGTTTTGTCCATGTTCTACTGTACCTCGGAATAACCTGATCAATGAAATACACGAATATTGAGATGAACAGAAATACCCTTATAGTGAGTGAGTTGGGTTTAACGCCGCTTTTAACAGTATTCCAGTTATATGGCGGCGTGTCAGCTGAATGTGGAAGGGAAGCCCGAAGTGATGCAGGTCGCAGACGTTTACCACTTCGGTGAAACCCACGAGTACGGGTATGGTGCTGACAAACCTAGAAACATAATCGGGGCGAACCGGGATTCGAACCCACAATCATAGGTTTCTGGCGTGCCCAAGGGACGCAACTCTGCACAGCGAATCGCGGCGCCTTAGACGACTGGGCCCCCCGTGCCCCCAAATACCCTTATAAACCTTGAATGCATAGACAGAACTCGCGATACTCTGAGATACTTCGCGATACCTTAAATATATAAATACACACGAAGATGCACAGGTAATACAGTAAACTAAGGTTATAACGAACTCAAAGGGACTACTAATTTTAGTTCGTTATAACCGTAATTCGTTATAAGCATATATACAGCATAACTACAGCATATAGTCGGGGCTAAAAAGTTAGTTCGTTATATCCGTTTGTTCGTTATAGTTCGTTATAACCGTAGTTTACTGTATCTCGAAATGCAATGATATGTCCATCAAGTTTCATGAATAACCATTTAGGAAACTTTGCAAGTCGACAATTCAGCCGAACATACGATACAGCACAACACAAAAACATGCATAGAACCAATATCTATATATACATATACATTAACGCTGCGGCAACACGTGTTCGACTGATATGATGTCAGGGTCACCGATCCATTCTAAATAGCGACAGTGGACTTGGTGGAGTTGAGGTATCGATCTGTTTGTGAGGCATATATTTTCCCGTTCTACGCCACCTGTTGCTGAGCGTGGGCAATTTCGAATAGACATTTAGGAAGTTTGTTCAGCTGACTAATTAACACTGAAACAACGCACTGACTTGACTATCTCTAGCTCTGGACTACACAGGGAAGGCTTACCACATTGCATCTATATATGGAGAATATTACGATAATTAATCCCACTTAATCGCGGTGAGGAATGCAAGATAATTGGCGACGGTTGAGCAGACGACAGCTTGTAGGCGGAGAGTGACAGTTTTCAAGCCTTCGTTGTGTTTGTGACAATTCATTGGCAGGATGTACCGCGCATCGCAGGTAAATGATGTTTTGTTGTGTTTATAATATTTCACCACGAAGATCCCTTGTTTTGTTGTGTGTTTAATATTTCACCACGAAGATCCCTTGAAACACTTTCAGAATCAGCAACAGTATTTGTGAAATAGGTCAGTGGTATTGAACGTACACTGACATTTGTAGCTGTGTACTGAACACCATTGTGACAGACATTCACGGACCGGAACTATTACAGGGGGCCTCGAATATATGTTACTATACATAATATACTTATTGCTGGAATACTGCTAAAAGCGGCGTAAAAACATATTCATTCGCTCACTCAAGCAGTTGACAGTTTTACATTGGTCGTGGTGCGACTCTTTCCATTTGTAGTGTGACTCACTCCAATTATGTCGAAAGGCACATATCCTGCACCTCTGCATGTCCGTTACACATACAGTACACCCTTGCCCGACTGCGTTCAAAGCGATTATGACCGCCTCCGTGGTCTAGTGGTAGAGCGTCCACCCGCGTAATACCCAAAGACGTTAAAAGATGGTTCTTGTTGTTACCCTGTCTGACACTCGGCATTAAGGGGCTAAAACAAGGACTAGTCGGCTCGGAGTCAGTATACTGTGCCTGAGTGGGGTATTCATGTTAAACTGCGGCATGGTATCTCAGTGAGCTAGCACTATAAATCGGCATCATTCCGGACAAGCAGCCTAACACACCGTATCGCGGGATTTCTGTTATAACGGTGTCCGGACTAAGACAGGGGGCCCAGTCGTCTGAGTCGCCCCGATTTGTTCCAGAGGGGGAAAAGTCTTTGCCCTGCGCCAAGACATGCCGTTATAGCTTGGCGTAGGTCAAAGACTGTCCCCACTTCGTGAAGAAATCGCGGCCAAGGCATGCCGTTATTATAGACCCGTGAAAATCCGGGGTAGAATAGGTCTTCAGCAACCCATGCTTGCCGTAAAAGGCGACTATGCTTGTCGTAAGAGGCGAATAACGGGATCGGGTGGTCAGGCTCGCTCACTTGGTTGATGCATGTCATCGTATCCCATTTGCGTGGATCGAGGCTCATGATATTAATCACTGGATTGTCTGGTCTAGACTCGATTATTTACAGACCGCCGTCATGTAGCTGAAATATTGCGGCGTCAAACAACAAATAAACAAACAAACACAGGCCTCTAGTATACATTACATTAGTCTAGTTCATAGACCTATACTTTTCATTACAATTATCTATAGTGAAAACACTCGCTCATCACGTGTTATTGCCTTTAAAAGTACAATGTGTGAAGTCCGCTGCTGACTTTAAAACTCTGCTCACTCACTCCAAAAAGCGATGGTTATTACAGCTTCAATAACAAGTACGTCACAGATATGTCATTAAACTCGCTCTGCGGAACGGGTTTCTGAACCGTGGATTGCGTCAATTAGCAACATCTGTAGGGATATGACTAATAATAATTCATCAACAGTCTGTTTCACGTGTTTTGTCATTCTATGTTAACGAAACATCACTCATAGTTTATGCACATAGATTATTATCCCTGTGTCGTAAATATAATAGAGATCGCCTCCGTGGTCTAGTAGTAGAGCGTCTGCCCGGAGAGCGAAGGTCATGGGTTCGATCCCCGGCTGCCACAAGACGTTATAAGATGGTACTTGTTGTTACATTGCCTGGCGCTCGGCATTAAGGGGCTAAAACAAAGACTGGTCGGCTCGGAGTCCGTTTCATCTTTAGATAATCTAACACAAGTAAATTTGAGTTCATACCCAGCAGTGAATGGGTACCCGGTAAGATGAGATAGCAATGTAAATGTTGACCTAGCGCCTTAAAGGCAGCATGGATTGTATACTCCCCAGGCAGCTGAGAATGAAAACCGAGTGCACACTGATCTATTAACTGGGGCAATAATACTGCGCTTCGAGAATACATTGTGTCTGTATGTATGCGCTTTACAAGCTGATTATTATTATTATTATTACTATTATTATTATAATTATAATTATTATTATTATTATTATTATTATTATTATTATTATTATTATTATTACATCAAGCAAACTTGTTCTTGTCTCTGCATAACCTTTTGCTATTCTGAATGTAAGCGTTCAGTGAGGGAGGTGAAACGTGCGTGCACGCCACATATAATGACATAATTCACCAGTATGCATCGTGTAAGTGATTTTAAGTAGGCTGACATATCCAAACACACTGGATGACAGTTAGCTGGAGGAAGGTTTCATGGGGCGCACATGGTTATTCGATGGTGCGGTATTTGATACGGGTATCATAGGCGATAGTACATGCGTATCAATGTATATCTCACGGGCAACTGTTTTCAAAGTAACGTTTGCTATGTTTGGGACAAATCCAGTTGTCAAGTGTATACTTTCTTTTGCCCGGCAGTTAGTATTTCCTGGAGAACACCAAGAGTAGGTTCACAAAATCAGTTTTTAATAAACTTTTTTCTTCAGGATAGTCAGTATGACCAGCGTGTCCAGCCAACATTGTATTTTGTCGATCAAGGCTCAGGATAAGTTCTTGTTTTTTAAACAATATTTAAAGAAAAATATGTCCCTAAAATCCTTAATCCCTAAGAATCTTGCAAATCATTACTAATCGCCTCCCTTAGCGAGTATCTTGTCAGGGGCAATAGAGGGTGTCTAAAGTTACCTACTTGGATGTCCGCCCATTTGAAGCCAAAACTATGTTAACTATTAACCGCTACCCCCCAAAAAAAGAAAAATTGACAAAGACCCCCCCCCCAAAAAAAACCCCAAAACAACAACAACAAAAAACACCAAAAACAAATACCAAAAATACCCCCCCCCCCCCCCCCCCCTTAATAATGACCACATTTTCGTCCAGAATAATAAGAATACGCCAATTGAATTTACTAATGGTGATAGAACAGGATGGATCTGAAAACAAATGTCCAAACATCATTGCTACTCTCACATAAAAATAACATTTATCTCTAATTGAGAATAAATAATTACTTTTGTTTTAAAAACATATAAATTGATTTGTATTTGTTTGTTTTATGTGAAATAAATGCATATTGCTACTAAGTTACTATTATACAACACCCCAAATTTTAAAATATTATTAACCCAAAACTTGTAAAGGTGGATATAGGACATTATGGTTCTCAGGCGACGCTAAGGCTACAGTGAACTGTATATGTGACTGCAGTGATGATGATGATGATGATGATGATGATGATGATGATGATGATGATGATGACGATGATGATGATGATGATGATGATGGTGATTACAGGCATGTGTAAATTTCTATAGAATTTTACGCAGCTTTCAACAATAGTCCATCAACGTCATAGTTGGTACATTAAGAATTTGATCCACACATTGTACAACCATGGGAATCGACCATGGAACTGTTTGAATTCTGAGATTGGTACAGATCCTGGCAAATGGTGGGAAGCAATTCTGTTCTGTGTGTTTGCCTTTCTTCCTGAGTAACTCCAACAGCTTGTATACTCCTAGCCATAACTGTACACCTACGTCAACTATGGGGGTCAAACCAGCATCACCGATACTGATGCCATTGATTCACGTTTGAAACTCAAAACAATGACTTTATCAAGATGGTGTTAATAAGTCTTCAATCGAATTCCAATTATTCAAATGTGATAGCACACAATAACTGATGTATAGGAATGACTTACACAAGGCAGATTTGATATTGAAAAACACGTATGTGCATAAATTACATCAAGAATTTTTGACATGTTCTTCAATATATATGTAAATGATGATGGCATGTGAACGTAAATGCAGCAACCATAATGTTATATCAATGCCAGGTGTTATTGAACAGTATCTATCACATGCCACCTCACCACGTTGTCAGTCAGAAGTCTAGGTGTGGCAGGTGCTTCTATGTGGGAGGATAACAATACCAGGTGCTATTGAACAGTATCTATCACATGCCACCTCACCACGTTGTCAGTCAGAAGTCTAGGTGAGGCAGGTGCTTCTTTGTTGAAGGATAACAATGCCAGGTGTTATTGAAAAGTATCTATCACATGCCACCTCACCACGTTGTCAGTCAGAAGTCTAGGTGTGGCAGGTGCTTCTATGTGGGAGGATAATAATGTCAGGTGCTATTGAACAGTATCTATCACATGCCACCTCACCACGTTGTCAGTCAGAAATCTGGGTGTGGCAGGTGCTTCTTTGTAGAAGGATAATAATGTCAAGTGCTATTGAACAGTATCTATCACATGCCACCTCACCACGTTGTCAGTCAGAAATCTGGGTGTGGCAGGTGCTTCTTTGTAGAAGGATAACAATACCAGGTGCTATTGAACAGTATCTATCACATGCCACCTCACCTCGTTGTCAGTCAGAAGTCTAGGTGAGGCAGGTGCTTCTTTGTTGAAGGATAACAATACCAGGTGCTATTGAACAGTATCTATCACATGCCACCTCACCACGTTGTCAGTCAGAAGTCTAGGTGAGGCAGGTGCTTCTTTGTTGAAGGATAACAATGCCAGGTGTTATTGAAAAGTATCTATCACATGCCACCTCACCACGTTGTCAGTCAGAAGTCTAAGTGTGGCAGGTGCTTCTATGTGGGAGGATAATAATGTCAGGTGCTATTGAACAGTATCTATCACATGCCACCTCACCACGTTGTCAGTCAGAAATCTGGGTGTGGCAGGTGCTTCTTTGTAGAAGGATAATAATGTCAAGTGCTATTGAACAGTATCTATCACATGCCACCTCACCACGTTGTCAGTCAGAAATCTGGGTGTGGCAGGTGCTTCTTTGTAGAAGGATAACAATACCAGGTGCTATTGAACAGTATCTATCACATGCCACCTCACCTCGTTGTCAGTCAGAAGTCTAGGTGAGGCAGGTGCTTCTTTGTTGAAGGATAACAATACCAGGTGCTATTGAACAGTATCTATCACATGCCACCTCACCACGTTGTCAGTCAGAAGTCTAGGTGAGGCAGGTGCTTCTTTGTTGAAGGATAACAATACCAGGTGCTATTGAACAGTATCTATCACATGCCACCTCACCTCGTTGTCAGTCAGAAATCTGGGTGTGGCAGGTGCTTCTATGTAGAAGGATAATTGAACAGCATCAATAACATATCACCTGACCATGTTGTCAATCATAATGTTTTAAATATTGTAGTAAACTAACTGACTGATTAATCTTATTAAGAGTGCGCCATTCCCCGCATGTTTAATCACTTGATTTATTTATTATCATACATTCCTACATTAATTGGTGCTTCAGAAATGTAACCCCTAATGGCTACACTACCGGTGTGTATACCAAGGCCAACAGCAAGTGAGACAACAGCAACAGCATGGAGAAACAGCCTCTCCATGGCAACACATCCGGGGGCTATGCTCGAGAACCATTCTTCCTGGCCAATATCACTATCATCTGCAGATTGTGGGGCCTCGCCACCATTGCAGGTATAGTAGACAGTAGACTGTGGGCCTCTCTACCATTGCAGGTATAGTAGACTGTGGGCCTCACTACCATTGCAGGTATAGTGGAATGTGGGCCTCGCCACCATTGCAGGTATAGTGGACTGTGAGCCTCGCCACCATTGCAGGTATAGTGGACTGTGGGCCTCGCCCCCTTTGCAGGTATAGTGGAATGTGGGCCACGCCCCCTTTGCAGGTATAGTGGAATGTGGGCCTCGCCCCCTTTGCAGGTATAGTGGAATGTGGGCCTCGCCACCATTGCAGGTATAGTGGAATGTGGGCCTCGCCACCATTGCAGGTATAGTGGAATGTAGGCCTCGCCACCATTGCAGGTATAGTGGAATGTGGGCCTCGCCCCCTTTGCAGGTGTAGTGGAATGTGGGCCTCGCCACCATTGCAGGTATAGTGGAATGTGGGCCTCGCCACCATTGCAGGTATAGTGGAATGTGGGCCACGCCCCCTTTGCAGGTATAGTGGAATGTGGGCCTCGCCCCCTTTGCAGGTATAGTGGAATGTGGGCCTCGCCACCATTGCAGGTATAGTGGAATGTGGGCCTCGCCCCCTTTGCAGGTATAGTGGAATGTAGGCCTCTCTACCATTGCAGGTATAGTGGAATGTAGGCCTCGCCACCATTGCAGGTATAGTGGAATGTGGGCCACGCCCCCTTTGCAGGTATAGTGGAATGTGGGCCTCGCCCCCTTTGCAGGTATAGTGGAATGTGGGCCTCGCCACCGTTGCAGGTATAGTGGAATGTGGGCCTCGCCCCCTTTGCAGGTATAGTGGAATGTAGGCCTCTCTACCATTGCAGGTATAGTGGAATGTGGGCCACGCCCCCTTTGCAGGTATAGTGGGCTGTGGGACTCGCCACCATTGCATGTATAGTAGACTGTTGGCCTCGCCACCACTGCAGGTATAGTAGACTGTGGGCCTCGCCAACATTGCATGTATAGTAGACTGTGGGCCTCGCCACCATTGCATGTATAGTGGACTGTGGGACTCGCCACCACTGCAGGTATAGTAGACTGTGGGCCTCGCCAATATTGCATGTATAGTAGACTGTGGTCCTCGCCACCATTGCAGGTATAGTAGATTGTGCAGGTATAGTGGACTGTGGGCCTCGCCACCATTGCAGGTATAGTAGATTGTGCATGTATAGTAGACTGTGGGCCTCGCCACCATTGCAGGTATAGTGGACTGTGGGACTCGCCACCATTGCAGGTATAGTAGACTGTGGGCCTCGCCACCATTGCAGGTATAGTAGACTGTGCAGGTATAGTAGACTGTGGGCCTCGCCACCATTGCAGGTATAGTGGAATGTGGGCCTCGCCCCCTTTGCAGGTATAGTAGACTGCGGGCCTCGCCATCATTGCAGGTATAGTAGACTGTGGGCCTCGCCACCATTGCAGGTATAGTAGACTGTGGGCCTCGCCACCATTGCAGGTATAGTAGATTGTGGGCCTCGCCACCATTGCAGGTATGGTAGACTGTGGGCCTCGCCACCATTGCAGGTATAGTAGATTGTGCAGGTATAGTAGACTGTGGGCCTCGCCACCATTGCAGGTATAGTAGATTGTGGGCCTCGCCACCATTGCAGGTATAGTAGACTGTGGGCCTCGCCACCATTGCAGGTATAGTAGACTGTGGGCCTCTCTACCATTGCAGGTATAGTGGAATGTGGGCCTCGCCACCATTTCAGGTATAGTAGACTGTGGGCCTCGCCACCATTGCAGGTATAGTGGACTGTGGGACTCGCCACCATTGCAGGTATAGTAGACTGTGGGCCTCGCCACCATTGCAGGTATAGTAGACTGTGCAGGTATAGTAGACTGTGGGACTCGTCACCATTGCAGGTATAGTAGACTGTGGGACTCGCCACCATTGCATGTATAGTAGACTGTGGGCCTCGCCACCACTGCAGGTATAGTAGACTGTGGGCCTCGCCAACATTGCATGTATAGTAGACTGTGGGCCTCGCCACCATTGCATGTATAGTGGACTGTTGGCCTCGCCACCACTGCAGGTATAGTAGACTGTGGGCCTCGCCAATATTGCATGTATAGTAGACTGTGGGCCTCGCCACCATTGCATGTATAGTAGACTGTGGGCCTCGCCACCACTGCAGGTATAGTAGACTGTGGGCCTCGCCAATATTGCAGGTATAGTAGACTGTGGGCCTCGCCAACATTGCATGTATAGTAGACTGTGGGCCTCGCCACCATTGCATGTATAGTGGACTGTGGGACTCGCCACCACTGCAGGTATAGTAGACTGTGGGCCTCGCCAATATTGCATGTATAGTAGACTGTGGGCCTCGCCACCATTGCAGGTATAGTGGAATGTGGGCCTCGCCCCCTTTGCAGGTATAGTAGACTGCGGGCCTCGCCATCATTGCAGGTATAGTAGACTGTGGGCCTCGCCACCATTGCAGGTATAGTAGACTGTGGGCCTCGCCACCATTGCAGGTATAGTAGACTGTGCAGGTATAGTAGACTGTGGGCCTCGCCACCATTGCAGGTATAGTGGAATGTGGGCCTCGCCCCCTTTGCAGGTATAGTAGACTGCGGGCCTCGCCATCATTGCAGGTATAGTAGACTGTGGGCCTCGCCACCATTGCAGGTATAGTAGACTGTGGGCCTCGCCACCATTGCAGGTATAGTAGATTGTGGGCCTCGCCACCATTGCAGGTATGGTAGACTGTGGGCCTCGCCACCATTGCAGGTATAGTAGATTGTGCAGGTATAGTAGACTGTGGGCCTTGCCACCATTGCAGGTATAGTAGATTGTGGGCCTCGCCACCATTGCAGGTATAGTAGACTGTGGGCCTCGCCACCATTGCAGGTATAGTAGACTGTGGGCCTCGCCACCATTGCAGGTGAGACCCGTTTGCTGAGTAATGCACGTGCTACATTAGACCCGTGAAGATCCGGGGTAGAATAGGTCTTCAGCAACCCATGCTTGCCATAAAACGCGACTATGCTTGTCTTAAGAGGCGACTTAAGGGATCGGGTGGTCAGGCTCGCTGACTTGGTTGATCCATGTCATCGTATCCCAATTGCGTAGATCGATGCTTCTGATGTCAGTCACTGGATTGCCTGGTCCAGACTCGATTATTTACAGACCGCCGTCATACAGCTGGAATATTGCTGAGTGCGGCGTTAAACAACAAACAAACTAGTAGACTGTGGGTCCTTCTACCATTGCAGGTATAGTAGACAGGGGGGCTTTTCTGCGATGTGGCTGTCAGCAGGCGTGGTAAACAGTACAGACTGTTTGTGTTTCAGTGCTGTGGGCCGGAGCCGTGACGACCATACAGTCCGGCCACGACCAGTACTACGTGGGCTGGTACCTCGTGTAAGTAGACAGTTACGCCAAACTCGCCAACTTGTAGCTGTCGTAAACAGTGACAACAACTTCTCAGAGTTTACCCCAATCACCATTATAACCGACTTCCTTCCGTCCGTGTTGTCGTGCTACGTGCGTAAACAGATGGCGCTACTGTGAGTCACACGGGTACCCTGGGTATGTGGATATACTGAGGTCATCTTGTGAGGACGACGTAAGGACGACTGTTTTATATAAAATATATGCTGTTACAACAAATACTTCTTGCTTAGTGTGGTATTAAACAACAAACAAAGTATACTACTACTACTTCTACTACTACTACTACTACTACTACTACTACTACGTCCACTACTACTACTACTACTACGCCCACTACTATATTTACTACTACTACTATATTTACTACGACGACTACTACTTCTACTACTACCATATTTACTACTACTACTACTACTACTACTACCACCACTACTACGCCCACTACTATATTTACTACTACTACTACTATATTTACTACTACTACTACTACTACTATATTTACTACTACTACTACTATATTTACTAGACTACTACTACTACTACTACTACTACTACGTCCACTATTATATTGACTACTACTACTACTATATTTACTACTACTGCTACTACTACTATATTTACTAAACTACTACCACCACTGCTACTACTACTATATTTACTGCTACTACTACTACTATATTTACTACTACTACTACTTCGTCCACTGCTATAACTACTATATTTACTACTACTAATACTGCTAATACTACTATATTTACTACTACTACTACTGCTAATACTACTATATTTACTACTACTACTGCTGCTACTATATTTACTACTACTACTACGTCCACTACTATATTTACTACTACTACTGCTAATACTACTATATTTACTACTACTACTGCTACTACTATATTTACTACTACTACTACGTCCACTACTGTATTTACTACTACTACTGCTAATACTACTATATTTACTACTACTACTGCTGCTACTATATTTACTACTACTACTACGTCCACTACTATATTTACCACTACTTCTACTACTACTACTACTACTACACAGACCTGTGTCGCCCCATATTTCACCATACCTCCACATATCAATGTCCACTACTTGTTTTGCAAACCGACAGCCTCTCTAGTCCCCCCTAGCCGACAGGACTGTATACATTCGCCCGATTACGTCATCCAATGACTGGAGCCTTGATGTCACAAACAGAAACCAATTACCTTGACAGTTTTATTCAACACTAAGTGAGTGAGTGAGTATGGTTTTACGCAGCTTTTAGCAATATTCAAGCAATATCACGGCGGGGGACACCAGAAATGGGCTTCACACATTGTACCCATGTCGGGAATCGAACCCGAGTCTTCGGCGTGACGGGCGAACGCTTTAACCACAATGCTACCCGACCGCCCCTTCTAAGTCCACCGTACCTAAACCCATAGTCATTTCAAATGATGGAATCAGCAGTACAGTCGCACTCTGTATATTAAACTGCCGTGTAATATAATCCGTACAGACACCCACAGATCATAACCATGCATTCACATAGCACTATCAGATGATACATCGCTCCTATAATATTACTTGCTATTCATTATTTTATTGAACTAGATCCAATTGTTTATAATAGTACTATTTATCTGTAATTATATCTTAACACGGAGCTCGTATTGTGACCACACTACACAATACGAGCGAGTGATAATATGCAACACGCTGCGAGAATATCTTGAAGTTGCTGACGCTGCATTAAGCAAATATTCACCAGCATATTCACGCGCAGCGTGTTACACAGGTCACGTGACGCTATTAGGGGCGAAAATCAGATATTCATCCAGTAGGAAACGGATTGGCTGCCATACATCAGGTGGACGAATCAGCCAATCCCGTCAAATGCCAGAGATCGATTCTTAAAAGTCTTACCATAGAAGCAATTAATGTATATACCGATACCAGTGTGCTGGCAGATGTGCGTATACTTACGTGACACACACCTCCGCATGCCTAGTGATGTCTGTTGGTAGCAATCGAGCTGCAGCTGTCTCAAGATCTATTTGTCATTTTAACCATTCAGTGTATCGGCTCCTGCAGTGGCGAAAGGTCGTTGGTATGTTGTTTTCAATGTCAGATGGGAGAACAGCTATTGGTTCATCGAAGGAATAATAATTAAATTGGGTCAACTACCAGAACAATTAAACACAACAAGACTATCTACAAGTGCCAGTGTTTTTGATTGTTTATCTGCTATTATGAATACTGAATGTTATAGCATGTGTTTGATTGTTTGTTTGTTTGTTGTTTAACGCCGCACTCGGCAATTGTCCATCTATATGGACAACGGTCTGTGAATAATCGAATTTGGTATAGCCAAGAGGTATAAGCGTTCGCTCGTCACGCCTAAGACCCGGGTTCGATTCTCCACATGGGAACAATGTGAGAAGCCCATTTCCGGTGTCCCCTGCCGTGATATTGCTGGAATATTGCTAAAAGCGGCGTAAAACCAAACTCACTCACTATTCACACACCCAACTGTCCAGCAAAAAATGCCATTCTCCGGCTCCCGTGACTATTATGTCACTGTTTATAAAACTACTACACGCGCGTGTCTGTCTACTATTCTGATGACATACGATTCAGAAGACCAAAACAAAACATATGTTGTGGTCAAGCAGGACATAGACACTGTATTTTGGAATAAACCGGCGGGCAAATGAAAGTATACACCAAACAACAATATCAGAAAATAAAAAAATGTTATCAAAACGTTACTAGGCTGAAAAATATCGCCGAAACACTGCATACTTAAGACTAGCCACTATCAAACATGGGTGCATAGTGCATACTCTCTTTTGCCCGGCCGTTGTGATTGTGCATGAGTCATCAATATTTTCTGTTAGTTTGACCCGAAACGCATTCATCACCAGAGAGGATCAATATAAAAACATAATATATTCAGACATGCTATTTTTTACCGACATTTACTGAAAACCGCCTAAAAAACCTGAAATTCGATAAACTCTCTGGTATGGAATCCTAGAAAGGACATCGTCGCGTTGTCTCACTGTCGCCCTTACAAAAACAAGCAAAAAGTGTCAAAATTAACCAAAGCGCGACAATGCGACAAATGACCAAAATGTTTGGTTAATTTTGACACTTTGTGCTTGTTTTATGCGACACCGTGACAATGTCCCTTCCAGGATTCCATACTCTAGGTACCTTCTGGCGCGTTGAAACAATGTGAATCTCTTATATCAGCAGACCTGTATTTTTTTCAGAGGAGCCGGCGTTTTGGTTACTTGGTATGAAATAACCTGGTTCTTTGACAAGTCAGCCTGTTGTCTGTAAGTAATAGACATGTGTACTCATGAAGGCTTTGTGTTTTCTGGAAGAATATACAATGTATACAAGAAGTTATGAATGATATTGCACATATGTAGTATCAGTCGTTTATCTCTAGCACAAGCAATATTTTCTAACACTAACTGCAGCGCTTCAGGACCAACGTAAGTCTTTTCTGGTATTAAATACACTATCAGTACAGGGGGCAGCCCAGTGGTGTCGTGATGGAATGTTTAGCCAAATACAGGGTTCGATTCCCCTATGGGTAAATGTGTCACACACGTAACTGGTGTTCCCCGCCTTGAATGGTGTCTAAAGCGGCGTCAAACCACATTCACTCACTTATTTTTACTAACAATAGTATTTTCTTTACTAAAAGCGCTGCTCTCGTAACAAGTTCATAACTCAAATGTATACATTTAAAAGTATTTTGTACTAAATAAGCACAGAACTGATGGCTGCGCTGTGTTATTTTACCCGAGTACCCTCCAAATGTTGATGGGGGCACGGGTGGCCCAGTCGTCTAAGGCGCCGCGATTCGCTGTGCATAGTTGCGTCCCTTGGGCAAGCCACACCTATGATTGTGGATTCGAATCCCGGTTCTCCCCGATTATGTTTCTAGGTTTGTCAGCACCATACCCGCGCTCGTGGGTTTCACCGAAGTGGTAAACGTCTGAGACCTGCATCACTTCGGGCTTTCCTCCCACATGAAGCTGACACGCCGCGATATAACTGGAATAATGTTACAAGCGACGTTAAACCCAACTCACTCAAGTGCTGATGTAACCGGTGATGTGGTTGTCGTTGTAGACGTGAAGGATGCTGCTGCAAGTGCTGGTCCATCATGATGTGGGTGGACAACTGGAAGAAGGGCATCCTTTACCTGGCTCTGTCCATCCCGACCTTCATCAGCGGCATGAGGATCATACTTGGCATGGTCAGCGGTAAGTTTCCATCCATCCATCCATCCATCCATCCACCCACCCACCAATCCATCCAACCATCCATCCATCCATCCGTCCATCATCGATCAATCCATCATCATCGATTAATCCATCCATCCATCCATCCATCCATCCATCCATCCATCCATCCATCCATCCATCCATCATCGATCCACCCATCCATCCATCCATCATCCCGACCCTCATCAGCGGCATGAGCATCATGCTTGGCATGGTCAGCAGTAAGTATCCATCCATCATCCACCCACCCAACCATCCACACGTCCATCCATCCATCCATCTACCCACCCATCCATCTATCCATCCATCATCGATCCACCCATCCATCAATCATCCCGACCTTCATCAGCGGCATGAGCATCATGCTTGGCATGCTTAGCAGTAAGTATCCATCCATCATCCACCCACACATCCATCCATCCATCCATCCACCATCTATCCATCCATCATCGATCCACCCATCCATCCATCCATTGGTCATCCCGACCTTCATCAGCGGCATGAGAATCATGTTTGGCATGGTCAGCGGTAAGTATCCATCCATCCATCCATTCGTCATCCATCCATCCATCCACCCATCCACCCAGTATGGTTACAAAAAAAACCATTATCCCTATTTCCCCTTCTGGAAGAAGAATGTCACTATGAATACACATGAACAGTCTTCGCCCCGTGACTGGGTAATCCGGATTAAGTTAACCCATCCTTCTGATAAACGTTGTTACGCGTTAATTTGTGTCACAAAGCATGTTTTTATCAGGTCCATCATGTTCAGTGAACAATAATGTTTTGTTTTGTGAAACCTGTGGCAATCTCTTCCCACTCCCCCATGTGAAGATGCAGCACCTGTCAGGGATGCTTGATCAAGCTTCTTTCTTGCAGGCTTCCTGCTCATCATCCTGGGTTGTCTGTACATCGTGAAGACCTTCAAGTACGGCATCGTCTACACCAAGCATGAGACGCGCTACGTGAGCACGGCGACGCCGACAGTGAGCATGGTGACCCACGAGATCTCCACTCAAACCGACGACGACATGTACTACAGTCTCCTGGCGGAGTATCAACGTCGGCAGCAGGAGCAGGAGAACCTCCAACAGCTGAGGCAGATGCCGTGACACGCTTCATAGCGCTAGGAGATGTGTGGGTGGTGGAAGGGGGCAGGTTGTAAACTTGAGATATGAGGGAGGGTGGGAGACCCGCGTCAAGCTGAACTAAATGAATAGATAATGGAAGGTGGGGTGGGGGAGGGGTGGGGTGGATGTCAATGGGAGGGGGGAGAGGGAGGAGAATTTGTCAACTTGATATGAGGGAGAGTGGGTGACCCATGTCAAACTGAACTAAATGTATGGGTAATGGAAGCAGGAAGGAGGGGGCGGGGGGGGGGGGGGGGGGGGGGGGGGGGCTCATAAGAGAGGGTGGGTGACCCAGGTCAAGCTCATCTTAATGTATGGTTGATGAAAGGGATGGGGTGAGGGGGGAGTGGGAGGGGAAGTTGTAAACTTGAAAGGGATGGTAGATATACGGGAGGTATCACTCTAGAATAATTTCGTGGACACAAACCATGGAGACATTAATACTATGAACGGGAGACTAGGGTATTGAATAGTACAGTAAACTACGGTTATAACGAACTAGAAGGGACCACTAACTTTAGTTTGTTATGACCATAGTTCGTTATAAGCATATATACAGCATAACTATAGCAAATAGTCGGGATAAAAATCAGTTCGTTGTATCCGTCAGTTCGTTATAAGCGTGTTCGTTATAAACGTACTTTACTGTAGTGATGGGATGATTACAACACTCGTCTTGACACAGGGCAGGTCAACATGGATTCAGAGATGTTTGTTCTGTGTCTGTGATCAGTGCTCAATCAAATGATGAGTCAAGACATGGTTGCACTGTTTGCAAATGATGCAGAGATGAATTTCCGTTCTTTTATGGTACCCATGTCATTCCATAACGCTAAATGGACTGTGGATCACTTGCAAAACCCGTTACAACTACAAGGATTGGGTCGTCGGTCACCCGTGCATCAACATTGGTATTAATTAATCTCTTGAGGACAATGGTGTGTGATGTTACAGGTGCTCAGATCAACGCTAGCATTAACTGATCTCTTGAGGACAATGGTGTGTGATGTTACAGGTGCTCAGATCAACACTAGCATTAACTGATCTCTTGAGGACAATGGTGTGTGATGTTACAGGTGTTCAGATCAACACTAGCATTAATTGATCTCTTGAGGACAATGGTGTGTGATGTTACAGGTGTTCAGATCAACGCTAGCATTAATTGATCTCTTGAGGACAATGGTGTGTGATGTTACAGGTTACAGGTGCCCAAGGGTATAGTCCACCCGTCTTGACAGGGACAGTGGTAGGGCGTGTGTTTGATTCATAGGTACCACTGCGTCAGATTACCCAAACAGCTTCCCACGGATATTCTCATCATGGAATGGGTATGAATATACGAGAATCCGAATAGGTTGGTTGGTGATTGATTGTACATCTGCCATTGATCTAACTACCAGGGCCTTTCTTCTTTGGAGTACTATGGGTGGTTTTTCACTGATCGGAAAACAAAAATGAAGAGCAAACGAAAAATGCGTATCACGGATCAAAATTAGGAGAAACCTATTCTGAATAAAATGGAAATGTAACCCTTTCAATACAAGACCTGGGGCTATTGAGAGATTAGACATATGTGGAATGTGGAGGGAGGTTGTGATGAGTCGACCCTCAGAGTGTTCACATACAGCAAGGTGTTCGCCGTTATTTGATGCCACAGCTAGTTTGCCTCAAGTTGTGGACAAAGGTGCGCCGTGCTTTGAAGGTGGCTATGTGGACTGAATGGTGCCACGCGGTGGACGTAGCTCCTCTACGAGACTGTGGCAACGGGTACAAGTCACATCCTACATAACCGACTGTGCAGACTATGTATGGTAACGTTCTCAGAGCAACAAATATCACACGGTTGGGGAATATGGAGTGACCTTCACCCCAGGATTCGGTGATGGACGTTTTATCTGCATATGACGTTTCCCACTTTCTTTAATAACTACCTTGTTTTAGTAGATTTTCAACTTTTTATCATTTTTTTACCTGATATTGTGGTCCTTAGGTATCTTGTTCATTCCTGGAAGAATACTGAATCCATACATGTCAAGTCTTCACATAATCACAGTCATAGCCTCTGAATGTTTAACGCCGCAACGCAATATTCCAGCTATATGACTCCGGTGTGGTAGTAATCGAGTCTGGACCAGACAATCCAGTGATTGATAATGTGAATGATCCACGCTGTTGGAATACCATCGCAGGAGGCATTCAACCAAGTCACCGAGTCTGACAATCTGATACATTTGATCGCCTCTTTAGACCAGCATAGATCGGAGATCTCTTCTAATACGGGATACCCAATCTCTGCCATCAGTAAGCCACACGGTCGTACAGATGTACCCCCCCCCCCCCCCCCCCCATCTCACCCTGCAAAGTCGATGGAACCGAATGGTCCTGTTGACGTGCTCTGATCTCAATTGTAAGAACACTTCACAACACATTTCAGCACTCGCTGATGGCCTTGTTTTGGTTAACAACTTTACTTTTGTAAAGAATGTAATTGTTTTGTTCATTTACAACAATCACGTTAATCCAGAGGGTGGAGGAAGACATGTATAACCACACTTCATATTCTGTAAGAACATTGGTGCTCATTTCCCTGTCTTGCAAAACTACGGTTAAAACGAACGCAAATGGGCAATTCATTTTAGTTTATTATAACCGAGGTTCGTTATAAGCATACATAGCAAATGGCCGGGACAAAAAAAACAGTTCGTTATATCCGTCGGTCCCTCATAAACGTGTTCGTTATAAGCGTAGTAGCGTACTGTAGATCTTTCTTGTACATTGGGTCTCATTTCCCTTGTCCCGAGATGGACACATTTTCATATTTGGAAACCAGACCATTGTCTTACGTAAGTCAGGTACACTTGATATTTTATCCTGTTTTCAAAATGGCTCTGCAGATGACAAGACGTATCCCCTGGGCCAGGTTGCACAAAACCAGCTCAGCTCTGAGACTATTGTAACGTCCATACTTTAACATACGACAAACAATAGTTGTAGCGCTGAGGTCACTTTGGACAAGCTGGTTCTGGTGATGTGCCAAGTCTCAGGAACAGAAGAATCCAGTCTCATTGTTTGTTACTAACATCATATTTATTAATACAACATTTGGCACATCACGGGTCAATTACATCCATAAGCACCAGTGATTAAGTCCAAGTGCAGATTCAAGCACTACTTCCGTCTGTGTAAATCTAACATGAAACTCGTGTCTTGGGTATATAAAGCTTTAAACCCTTTCTACATTTTGTTATACAAATACACGTCTTTCAAATTGATATGCATGTGATTGTTTTCTTGCTAAGTCTATGGGACAAGATTGTAAATAAATGAAAAAGGAGACCTACAGTAAGTCTACATTAACGTGGACACAACTAGGAAAAGAGGATCCTTGTCTATTTCAACGTTCTGAACTGGACGTGTCAAGTAATATATATATATAGAGAACAAAAAAGGTTGGGATCATAATATTAGGGATATGTTTCTGAAAGTGTGTGCTCAATCCTCGCTACCCAAAAAATATCCCCAAAATATTTGATCCCTAACTTTGTTTTGTAGGTTAAACCAAACAAAACCTTCTGATATCATGCTTTGATAGTATCCCTGCAGTCATGGAAACTTTAATTTATTTATCGTAATATATTTCACTTTATCGTATTCAAAAAAAATTATATTAAAAGTATCATCATGATCATAATAATTCCACCAAAACCGTAATGGTTAGCATCTCAGGTGAAAATTCATTTTTTAACAAAACAATAGTGACGTGATTGCCCTAACTCCAGTACCATATTTGCCGTAAAAAGCGCCCCCGGTGCTTAGACATATTGACAAAGGGAGAGCTTATTATACCAGCTTGTTAAACGTGTTGTCGAGATGAGCAGTGGAGAACAACCTAGTTTTAAAAAAACATTGATGAAAGAAAGGTTTTGGATAATAGTTACTTGGCAACTATATCCCCCTTCTATTCTGATGTTTTCTGTAAAAAAGGTATTGCATGTACACAAGAAAATACGGACTGTCATACAAATTTGGGGACTTAGTAGGGGTGCTTATAAGGATTACTTACAGATTGGTCTAGAAATTTGTCAGGGTATGAGCAGGGCGCTTAATACGGCAAATACAGTACTTGAACATGGTCATGTGGCCGGCAGGGAACTGAATATGATCTGGGTAACTAGCCCAACAGCTTGATGGTGAAGGGCCATTGCGTAAATTACCCAACATCCTCAAATGTGATAGTCTACCAAGTTTGGTCCAGAAGAGCCTTGTGTGTTTTCTTCCAAGCACTTTCTTTTAAAGTCACAAATAAGTTGATGTAATGTGTACAATACTCACATAGAATTGTAAATAAAGTTCTTTCTTTCTGTGTATGTTCTTGCTATTTGTTTACACTAATGAATTAAACTTTATATACTTCTTACTAAAATGACAATATTTTGAAATACTACGTCTAGTTACGAGCTGAGGTCGGCCTTGTGAGTCCCGCACTGTCGCCCTGGAAACCTCAGCTCAGTGACAATATGATGTACACACCAACTTCTTAAAACAGTGACAGTCCATGTTAGAAACCAAGAATTCTGTAAAAGACTTGATTAAACTGATACATGTTCAAAGGGTTCTATCTCCCTCTTGTTAACATTAGGCTGGGAAAAAAGAAAAAGAAAAAGAAATCTCCGGCACCGGCATATCGGCAAAAATACAGTGCACTAAACATATTTTTTACACGAGCAAAACAAACGAAAAGTCTGACCCTGAAATAAAATATTGATAATTCACAACACCTGTGCTTCATGTCTGCACCAACTTATCAAAATGCGGAGCCAAGGAGGCAAACAAATTTGGGAGCCGAATTGACATAAGAACCATAGATATATACACTACTGAACACGATTATCATTGTAGGATAAAGAACATTTCAATCAATTCAGTAACACGAAAACATTATCTTCATTTGAAGAACATAATTTTAGGACACATTTGTCTTTTTACAAACACCCCATACCTGCTCCTACACAATATCACCCAACCAACACACTCAATACTGCACACTCCATTGACATGAACAAACCTACACAAAACTGTGTAGATCTACATGTGGTTAATGCATTGAAGCATGCCGACTACTGTTTATGGAGTGTTTGTCCTTGCTCACTTCTGACAGATCATCATCATCATCAACTAAAGATCAGTTTCTTGTCCTACACTGCAGCTGAAGGGGTCTTTATCGGCACAGATACAACAAAAATGTACCACAGCCAAAATAAAAAAAAGAAACGAAACCTAGGATGAGTCCATTCGCCGCAGGGTGCAATGCGCGTAACCGGGTCTTTTTTTAGGTATTCGTCACTTACTGTATGCCAAACCGCGGTTAAATTCAACATGGCAGTACGCGTTCGTCAGGAGAAACTTTTGGATTATCTTCTGAAGTTGAATGTCTTTGACAAGGTCGTAATGGTACGCAAGGATAGGGAGCTTTAGGCAAAGGATCGTGTAGAAGTAGCACGCATGCACTCGTAATCAGTCGAACAGGAATTACAACATGAACCGGTTTCGGGTTGGGAAATATGGACTCGTCCGCCGTTTAGGGTACCGGTACATCTCTGTATTCTAATTTGGTCTCCGGTACATTTCTCTATACAGAAACGTACCTGGGGTAAATATCTGTTGTACCTGTGCCGACAACGACCCTTTCAGCTACACTGTAACCTTGACCTACATCCACTGACACATATAGGCTCTAAGCCAATCAGCTTCTTAGCACAGATATTTGTATGCTGTGCACAAACAGATTCTACCAAGATTAACATCCTAACAAAAACTTGAAACAAGGTACATAAAAGATTTTAATTATATATTTTGTTTGATCACCCAAAAGTCCTGACAAGGAGTCATGTTGATTATTGATAGCAACAACAATGAACATGGAACAAAAATATAGCTTCACAATTCAACAAGGACATATTTCAATCAATGACAACAAAACACATGAAGTTATTTTTTTAAGTTGCACTGCACATCACAGGTATCAGTGTGTATGACTGGTATCTACAACTACTAACACCAGTATATTGGACAATCCAATTCTTCGCACAGGTGGGATAGTACAGGAACACAATTTAATTACCCCGAGAAAGTTCAAGCACATGTCCATCAGTGAAGAGTAAGCTGGGTTTAACACTGTTTCAGTATTCAGTTATATCGTGGCATGTCAGATTAATGTAGCAGGAATGTCTGGGACTTTGACCTATGACCAGCAGATCCTGGCCTAACTAAGGGACACAACTCAGCACATAGAACTGCTGCAGCTTAAACTGCGAGGTTACACACTCAGCAGGTGGGGGTTCAAACCACGGCGGGTCAGGGACAGGTACACGACAGGACAAATCTCCACAGAAAGTAGTAGTTCTAACATAAATGTTGTATGATTATTATATTCACTAGTTTTGTATTAGGCAACAAATATTTATTTCCCCCCAAATAAATCATGAACATAATCATGCTGGCCCATTGCTGTGGAACAAGCTGCCACAGGAATTCTGAGAAGCAACCAGTCTCTTCAAGACAGCCTTTGACTAGATCAAGTTTGGTCATTTGAGCGGTTATTAATTAGAAAATGCTCTACACAAATTCTTAATTTAATTAGTATAATACTATTTCAGTATATGCAAATTCTCTCATCTTCAAACTAAAAATGTTCTCAAACATAGATCTGGCAATATTAATATCATTATTATGTGTGAATATCCCCATTTCACAGATAAATATTTTTACAAATCTATACACTATACATTTTACATCATTGTGGTATTCAGAAGGAACATACATTTTTCAACAAACTGACTTCCTACTAATCTGACATCAATAGCTTGTGATCGATGTAGTGGGCACATTTATCTTAGACTACTTTCACTCTTCTCTAGTTATTGTAGTGATGTTCACCTGAGCACATTTTGTGTGACATCTGTGTTTGAGTTAAGCATACATTGTGTGACATCTGTGTTTGAGTTAAGCACACATTGTGTGACATCTGTTTGAGTTAAGCACACATTGTGTGCTTGAGTTAAGCACAAATTGTGTGACGTGTGTTAAGCACATAGTGTGTGACATTGACCCATGGAAATTTGTTTTTTATTTTACTAGTCAATAGAGTTTGAAGCTAGTCCTGGTAAAACGAGACAAAGTGTTTTCTGTGTTTACATTTTCTGTCAGTTTTATTCAGTCCCAATTTGTAGCAAAATTGAAGCATTGAAAACTGGCTCAGAAGTTTAGCTTTCCACTGCTACCATCACTGGATGTTAACTTGTCCTCAGCACTATATAGTAGTCTCTTGCTGGCGGACTAGCAGGAATTTCGAAGGTTAGATATCAGTTTTGGAGTTAAGCACATATTGTGTGATATCTGTTTGGGGTAAGAAACTATTGTGTGATATATGTGTTTGATATTGTGATACTGTAAATCTTAAAATTAATGCGTTTCCAACCCTAGCCAAAAAATTGACTCAATATCAATAGTATTCCCCCCCCCCCCCCACCCTATCCCCAGTGGAATGATACATATCCTTACCTTAACCCAATCAAACACAAATAGCACTGCTTATTAGCACTGACTATAGCACTTCTGTAAAAACAATAAACAGTGTTTTCCTAAAAACAACACACAGTTTATATGTTTATTCTGTTGACTGGCCTTAAGGAAGTTCAAAGGCAATACAATAATTGAACCAACAGTTCACTGATTGGTATGCGAAGGTGTCAACAAAGTTGAAGGCAGATAACAAGACAAGGGCTGTAGATCTGAGGAATGTGATTAAGCCTAACAGTGCGCGTTAGGTTATTTCCGCCTTTGACAAAGTGTTGCATGGCGGCATCTGTCTGGACTGCTGGAGTGGTCAATGATGCCTAGTTTGACATGAGTGGGTAGAACTCTTGACCCCAGTAGCGATAACTCACCGGATGCCTATTGTGTAATTCCTATTCTTTAACTCACATTGTTATATACTTGTTACAAGTGCTGCTCAATAAACAGTGTTTGTGTTTATATTCAAGTTGGTATTTCTGCTATCCAAAGAGTGCAGTGATGCCGTCTTATTATTGATAGTCATTTTGGAGATATAAATGTGAAGTTTCATTAATGCGAACAAAGATCACTTGCATTTTTCACATTTAATTCACACTCGCGTTAATTTCAAGATTTACAGTATCTGTTTGATACAAGCACATATTGTGTGACATCTGAGTTTGAACATACACTGTGTGATATCTGTGGTTTACATGAGCACAAATGTTGTTTAACATGCATGTTTGATTAAAAGGAGTCTTCTGTATCCCCAGAAATTGTCATCTTAGGTGGAAGCTTTGATCACAGAATTGGTTTAAAATGTCTTCACATTATCACTGGAGGTCCTGCGACTTGATTCAACTGTTCCAGGTACCTACAACCAAGAAACAAACTGTGGGTATGAAATGCCATTTAAAACGTGGTCAAATGAAACAAATGTCATATTTGGGATAAAATTTTCTTCGTAAAGTACAGATTCTCGTACCTTTTTGGGTTGAGTCCCGTCCGGGATTCGACCCACACTGCCAGAGTGAGGCACTTAATCGCAAGTACACAAAGTCAGCGATTTAACCAACCCCGCCACCAAGGCCACAAAAATGAAAGTCTGACAACTGTTTGTCTAGATCACGTACTTTGTGTACCCCTCTGACAAGCGTAAAACTCCAACATGTCCAATGGCCGAAAGCTATGAACACACACTGCCATTTAGAAGGTGGTCAAATGTAACAAATGTTATATTTGGGATAACACTTTCTAAGTAAACCTAGTTATCTTGTAACACCTTTATAGTGATACTAAAAACTGTTCCCATATGCTGCTATATACTTTGTAAAGTGCACTCTGGCATTGTGGGTTCGAATCCCGGACAGGACTCAACCCAAAAAAGAACGATATTCTGTACTTTACAAAGAAAGTGTTATCCCAAATATGACATTTGTTAAACTGTATGCAGGAGTGAGTGAGTGAGTGAGTGAATGAGTGAGTGAGTGAGTGAGTGAGTGAGTGAGTGAGTGAGTGAGTGAGTGAGTGAGTGAGTGAGTGAGTGAGTGAGTGAGTGAGTGAGTGAGTGAGTGAGTTGGGTTTAACGCCGCTTTTAACATTATTTCAGTTATATCACGGCGTGTCAGCTTAATGTAGTAGTATGTAATTAAGGTCACCTCTTATTTTAATACCTAAGTTTTAGTCTACCCTCCAATCTAACCTGCTTCACTAATACAATAGCACAGTCACCCTTGCGCTTGCCTTCTCTATTGTTTCTCTGGTCTCTATTGTCTAGCCCAAGCCCCTTACTTTCAGTGACAGGGTGCATTATGGGACTGGTCAGTTTATATTCACACTTGTATTTGACTATGCTTGGAGACAAGTTCTCTGAAATAATTCAATCAACTGTCACAGGTTAGTTTGTTTGAATTGTATATTTATGTGTTCTTATTTAGTGCTTTGTAGGGTTTGTTAAGGTGCATATGTATGGTTTCTTAACTTCTTTTAATAATACTTATATTGTTAGGTGTGATAAATATATATCATATCAGTCATCGTATTCAGGTAAATGTAGTTAGGCTAAATTTGCTTAAATACTTAACAAGCATTTTCATGTTGATATTACTTAACTTATTGTGTAACTAGGCATAATGAGTACATTTATTGATAGACTGGAGCTATTTACCTGTAAATTAAAGTTCTGCACCTAACTGCACATGTATGAATGTATGTCTGTATGATGAGGTGAGTGATTAGAATATATATTTTAGGGTTATTGTATATACCTAAGGATGTAAACATATTGATGTAATATGTTCACTGTAATCATGTTATATATATATATTTATGTTCAGGTGTGTCCCGGTAAAGCAAATGATATAAGAGTAACGCTATTTTTCAGGGCATTATCATTTGCAGAAGCCCGAGGTTTTCTATTAACTGCCCAACGAAGGAGGGCAGTTGAAAAGACCGAGGGCTTCTGCAAATGATAATGCCCTGAAAAAGAGCGTTACCGTTATTATAGCTAAAATGGATGAAATTTGTTATCAAATAAAGGGAAACAACAACATCGGTTTTGAAACATTTACTGCAATCAACACGAATGTCACTGACCACATTTTACAAATATTGAAACGTCATAGAACAAACCAGATGACGTCACTATAATACGTGACGTCATTTTCTCTACCCTATGACGTCACCTAACAACGGGCTTGATAATGGCCCGTCGTCAAGCAATATGAGGGCATTATCAAGTTACAGTGGCCCGCTCATTTCTGATAACGTGCGGGCGGTTTAATGATAATTCTATCCATTTTAGCTATAATGTCTGATGTTGTGACATCATAGAGCACAGTGCCATACACCTGGTGAGGACATTTATATTTTGAATGTATTTATAGTGATATGTACCGGTACTGAAATTGTGTGTTATGTATTTATGCATTTATCATCATTCTCCCATTATTGATATTTACTGAAATTGTGTGTTATGTATTAATGCATTTATCATCATTCTCCCATTATTGATATTTATCATATGATAAATCCCCTGTAATATTTAGAGTAAAGTAAGATAAAACTAATTACGATGGATCATAACAATGTATATGATCATATATAAGATTCTAATATTTGTTAATAAGTTATAATGTAATGATTTATTTGTATGTGTAGGTATTGTGTGCATATTTTAACTCTGTGTATTTATTTTCACAGGGCCTCAGTTATTTATGCTTCTGTATTAAACAACTGTCATCAACAAATCAACCTGCGTTCAGTGATTCATTCACCTAAACCACTCCGTGGGAGGAAAGCCCGAAGTGATGCAGGTCTTGGATGTAACATTGGTGAAACCTACGAGCACGGGTATGGCGTCTTTAGATCTGAACACAAACACTAGAAATGATCACACTAACATTAACAGCCGTAGAAACTAACAGTTTTTGTACACTTGTCTTTGAAATGAAAACATATAGCAAACTCTTTAAAAATGGCCAATTTCTACTAGTCCTTTTGATACCTTAACTATTGGACAGTTTGGCAAGGACTCCAGGACTAGTGCCAATTTCTAACTGTATTAAGATCGTAGTGTTTGAAAGACAGCTGACCTCGGGTTGTGTTGCTCCACTCTGCCCCGCAGGATACTCGGGCCAAGGAAGGTGCTGAGCTGAGACAGGCACTGAGTGGCCGCAGTCGACGTCAGGATGTTGTCACATGACTGAGAACAGACAGACTGCAGTTAGCTCACAGTTGTGACCTCTGTGAGCTGTTTATTACTGAAGTTTTTACAGGTCTCAGGAGCACATTTATCTGAATGAAGTTTAACAAAATGTTTTTACAGTATGGGATGTATTCAAGACCTGAAAACTATCCCCTGAATTCGTATCAAGGTCCACACTTCAGACAATTCAATCAATGAGACAACGAAAGTGGTGTCAGAAATGTAAAAGACTTGTGCTGACAGAGCATACAATACAAAGTTAAACAAACTAAAATGTCAAATTAGGTTGGAATACATGTGTGACAACATTGGTGATTGGTTTTCTCGGTTTTTACTGAAGTGAGTATGAACTTACACATCCTCGATAATCCAGTTTATCAGATCTCCATTCCATTTGTTATTCCATTTAAGAAATGAATGATTGTGGGAGTTGTTTTAATGTACGATAAACAACGACCATGAGTCGTGTATTTCTTATTTGAGATATCAACATTTTGTACAGGTTTTTTAAGGATGATGATACAATGTACACGCTTTAAAAATGTTCACCCATATTTTAATAATGATGACTCCCTCAACAGAATCCGACCTCGGCAATGTTGGAAAAGTCCATTTTATGCACAAGTGTGTATTTTCCACATAACCTTGCAATCCTTTCTTTGATTACCTGAACCTTTTCTCTAAATACTGACTGTCATATCTCTCCTGCTTTTAGATGGGATCGTTTGGCCATCGCGTTTATCTGCGTTGCCGAGATACATCTATGAGGAACAACTCACTAGACACTCCCCTCTAAAAAATAACGTCGTCAAACATACGACATCAACAAGTTGCGAGAGCATGTTCGAATCTCCAGGACTGACGTCATGATAGAAAAATGTTTTAGTGTGAAATAAACCATGCTTTGTTCTTTATTGCGACTTATATATATCCTGGAGTCTTTAATTGATTAAACCATAGATTTGTTTTGGACACAGCACAGAATTTAACTTGCTCATGAGCTTGTAATCAACAACCAATCAAAACACCTCTTCTGAACAGACGTTCAGCATAGATCTGCGTTCCAAATCAAGGCTTCGTAACAAGATTTGATATAACTGATTCAATCAGGAGATACTTACAAAATAATTTTTTGCTTGAAAAGGTGTTATCCAAAGTACTAAGACTTCATACTATGATGTCAATCACTAGTCGTTTCACTGCTTGTTTTAATCAAGAATTTCACGAAGGCCTATTTTTAACGATGTGTCATTTGAGGTGAAATGGAGTTTAATGTCGCGTCCAACATTATTGCACTTAGTCCTCATTTTAGCCCCTTAATGCAGAGCGCCAGACAGGGTAACAACAAGTACCATCTTTAAATGTCTTTCGGTATGACTATGTCATTTGACCAGGACTCAAAACAAAGGTATGGTGGTGAATGAGTGGAAGGCATTTATCATAAAACAATAGATATACTACACTGGATTATCAAGGATGGGTCATTTGCAACAATCTATCCAATCAAAGCAGTTCTGGTACCAAGAATAGAATTTACACATTGCACACATATCAAACACTAAAAAAAGCCATGATTTGTTTGTTTGTTTGTTGTTTAACGCTGCACTCAGCAATATTCCAGCTATAAGACAGAGGTCTGTAAATAATCGAGTCTGGACCAGACAATCGAGATTTTGGCAACATGATCACTGATCTACAAAATTGGGATATGACATGCATCAACAAAGTCTGTGAGCCTGACCACCCAATCCTGTAACTCGCCTCATACGACCAGCATCAGTTGCTGAAGACCAATTGTAACCCGGATCTTCACAGCGAAAATGATTCATGAAAGTGACAGCTCTTATACCAGCTCTGTCAACCTGCATTGCAGTGAATCTATGTTTGTCACGTGAAGAGTCACAGCCAAGAATTCACCGGTACTTACCAAGCTGTAGAAGAGAGAGTCCATGAATTGCTCCAGGTGAGGCTTGAAGGCCCGTTTACCCAAACCTTTGGCAATATTAGGAATCTGAAACAAGATGGTGGGATTGTTAAGATCAACATATTTGTGAGCTGTCCAAATATTTGTGACAATGTTCAACCATCAGTGTATTTGAAATGTATGACCTTACCAAATGTCATCTATTTTTTTACTTTAAATGTCTTTTTCTTTATCATACAAATGATTCTAAACTGTCCAAATACTTTGTTTCCATGAATGCTATTAATACAGAAGTTACATTTTGTATTTCTTCTTATGGTGGTCCAGATGATAAGTTTCTCGGACATAAATTAATCTGGAATGTCTATCAGCTTCAATCTCGACGAAACAAGTCTCAAATCAAAGAGGTGTGGGCTATATAGTATAGTAATCTAACATGATCTTAGGACAACCTTAATATACAGTTCTTAACATAAACATCCTGTGACCAGCACCCAGTACTGTGACCTGCTCTCCCACCCCCGCCTGTGACCTGCTCTCCCACCCCTCCCGTGACCTGCTCTCCCAACCCCTCCCGTGACCTGCTCTCCAAACCCCTCCCGTGACCTGCTCTCCCAACCCCTCCAGTGACCTGCTCTCCAAACCCCTCCCGTGACCTGCTCTCCCACCCCCTCCTGTGACCTGCTCTCCCACCCCTCCTGTGACCTGCTCTCCCACCCCTCCTGTGACCTGCTCTCCCACCCCCTCCTGTGACCTGCTCTCCCACCCCCTCCTGTGACCTGCTCTCCCACCCCTCCTGTGACCTGCTCTCCCACCCCCTCCTGTGACCTGCTCTCCCACCCCCTCCTGTGACCTGCTCTCCCACCCCCTCCTGTGACCTGCTCTCCCACCCCCTCCTGTGACCTGCTCTCCCACCCCCTCCTGTGACCTGCTCTCCCACCCCTCCTGTGACCTGCTCTCCCACCCCCTCCTGTGACCTGCTCTCCCACCCCCTCCTGTGACCTGCTCTCCCACCCCCTCCCGTGACCTGCTCTCCCACCCCCTCCTGTGACCTGCTCTCCCACCCCCTCCTGTGACCTGCTCTCCCAACCCCTCCTGTGACCTGCTCTCCCAACCCCTCCCGTGACCTGCTCTCCCAACCCCTCCTGTGACCTGCTCTCCCACCCCTCCTGCTCTCCCACCCCTCCCGTGACCTGCTCTCCCACCCCCTCCCGTGACCTGCTCTCCCACCCCCTCCTGTGACCTGCTCTCCCACCCCCTCCCGTGACCTGCTCTCCCACCCCTTCCTGTGACCTGCTCTCCCACCCCTCCTGTGACCTACTCTCCCACCCCTCCTGTGACCTGCTCTCCTACCCCCTCCCGTGACCTGCTCTCCCACCCCTTCCTGTGACCTGCTCTCCCACCCCCTCCCGTGACCTGCTCTCCCACCCCTTCCTGTGACCTGCTCTCCCACCCCCTCCTGTGACCTGCTCTCCCAACCCCTCCTGTGACCTGCTCTCCCACCCCCTCCTGTGACCTGCTCTCCCACCCCCTCCCGTGACCTGCTCTCCCACCCCTTCCTGTGACCTGCTCTCCCACCCCCTCCTGTGACCTGCTCTCCCACCCCTCCTGTGACCTGCTCTCCCACCCCCTCCTGTGACCTGCTCTCCCACCCCCTCCCGTGACCTGCTCTCCCACCCCCTCCCGTGACCTGCTCTCCCACCCCCTCCTGTGACCTGCTCTCCCAACCCCTCCTGTGACCTGCTCTCCCACCCCCTCCTGTGACCTGCTCTCCCAACCCCTCCTGTGACCTGCTCTCCCACCCCTCCTGTGACCTGCTCTCCCAACCCCTCCCGTGACCTGCTCTCCCAACCCCTCCTGTGACCTGCTCTCCCACCCCTCCTGCTCTCCCACCCCTCCCGTGACCTGCTCTCCCACCCCCTCCTGTGACCTGCTCTCCCAACCCCTCCCGTGACCTGCTCTCCCACCCCCTCCTGTGACCTGCTCTCCCACCCCCTCCCGTGACCTGCTCTCCCACCCCTTCCTGTGACCTGCTCTCCCACCCCTCCTGTGACCTACTCTCCCACCCCTCCCGTGACCTGCTCTCCTACCCCCTCCCGTGACCTGCTCTCCCACCCCTTCCGTGACCTGCTCTCCCACCCCCTCCCGTGACCTGCTCTCCCACCCCTTCCTGTGACCTGCTCTCCCACCCCCTCCTGTGACCTGCTCTCCCAACCCCTCCTGTGACCTGCTCTCCCACCCCCTCCTGTGACCTGCTCTCCCACCCCCTCCCGTGACCTGCTCTCCCACCCCTTCCGTGACCTGCTCTCCCACCCCCTCCTGTGACCTGCTCTCCCAACCCCTCCTGTGACCTGCTCTCCCACCCCCTCCTGTGACCTGCTCTCCCACCCCTTCCTGTGACCTGCTCTCCCACCCCCTCCCATGACCTGCTCTCCCACCCCTTCCTGTGACCTGCTCTCCCACCCCCTCCTGTGACCTGCTCTCCCAACCCCTCCCGTGACCTGCTCTCCCACCCCCTCCCGTGACCTGCTCTCCAAACCCCTCCCGTGACCTGCTCTCCAAACCCCTCCTGTGACCTGCTCTCCCACCCCCTCCTGTGACCTGCTCTCCCAACCCCTCCTGTGACCTGCTCTCCCACCCCTCCTGTGACCTGCTCTCCCACCCCCTCCTGTGACCTGCTCTCCCACCCCCTCCTGTGACCTGCTCTCCCAACCCCTCCTGTGACCTGCTCTCCCACCCCTCCTGTGACCTGCTCTCCCACCCCCTCCTGTGACCTGCTCTCCCACCCCCTCCTGTGACCTGCTCTCCCACCCCCTCCTGTGACCTGCTCTCCCACCCCCTCCTGTGACCTGCTCTCCCACCCCCTCCTGTGACCTGCTCTCCCACCCCCTCCTGTGACCTGCTCTCCCAACCCCTCCTGTGACCTGCTCTCCCAACCCCTCCTGTGACCTGCTCTCCCAACCCCTCCTGTGACCTGCTCTCCCACCTCTCCTGTGACCTGCTCTCCCACCCCCTCCTGTGACCTGCTCTCCCACCCCCTCCTGTGACCTGCTCTCCCACCCCCTCCTGTGACCTGCTCTCCCACCCCTCCTGTGACCTGCTCTCCCACCCCCTCCTGTGACCTGCTCTCCCACCCCCTCCTGTGACCTGCTCTCCCAACCCCTCCTGTGACCTGCTCTCCCACCCCTTCCTGTGCCCAGCACCCCCTCCAGCACCCAGTACTATGACTTGCCTGTTTACACACTGTCTCTAGGAAGGCCACATGCTGAGTGTAGTGATGTCTGTCGGCCGTCTGTGACATCACAGAAAGTAGTTCCACCACCTTCTGGTGATGAGGCTGCTGGGGAGATAACTCCGCCAACAGGTGGACACATCTGGAGGAAGAACAAGAAGTGAGTGAGTTCGGGTTTGAAGCTGCTTCTACAAGTATTTCTGGCATATCATGGGACGCCATCTGATTATGGGGGATGCATCGGATGCATGTTGCAGACATTCTTCACAACCCCAGTGTCGCTTACATTAGCAGCAATAGTCCAAATATAGCATGGTGGCCTATCAACAATGGATCAGGTAAACCAGGGTTAATAGCATGAGCAAACTTGCCTGCCATCAGGACACGCAATGGCCACATTCACCCTCTCGTCGCCATGTTAGTCAGCTCTTACAACAAACTACCCATGAAGATCCTGGGTAGAATAGGTCTTCAGCAGCCCATGCTTGCTGAAAAAGGCGACTATGCTTGTTATAAGAGGCGACTGATGGGATTGGCTGGTCAGGCTCACTGACAAGGTTGATGTCATCATATCTCAAATATGTTGATCGATGCTCATGATATCAACCACTGGATTGTCTGGTCCAGACTAGATTATTTACAGACCGCCGTCTCATAGCTTGAATATTGCTGAGTGCAGCATTTAACAGACAAACAAACAGGGTACTGGAATGCTCCCCACATGCCAGCACTCGGGTCCTCTTGGCTTATTTCGCTTCCTACATAATACTTGGGGCAGTAGTATTGGAGTATTGATATGGCATGGGTATTCATGAACATTCATTGTAAACCTTTTAATGCTATATCCCGCCGCATGTAGTTCACATAACAAGCTGGCTACTTTCAAAGACAGGTTATTCTGTGATAAACAGAAATTAGGTACCGTATTAGACGTAATAAACGCCCAGGGTGATCTCAAAATTAGAAATAGGGGGCTCTTATTAGAATATAGTTTTGGTGAAAGAGTTAAAAGATTGTAAATTTCATGGTTTATGCAGACAGCCTGAAATGATACAAAAGAAAAGTCTGTGAGTATTATACATGCCAGATATATTTTTCCAGAATTTAATTGCCCGTAATTAAGTGTGCATATGACATACGAGTGCATATTATACACAAATAAATGTGTTTTGTGTACATTGATCATTTGCAAGGGTGCTAATTGGGATTGTTCACTAGCCAAAATATTAGCAAATATCGCTGTGGGCACTTATTATGTCGAATATAGTATTCACTTTGATTTGAAGGAAACGGAAACAATCTGAACCGCCAACAGGTTGTGATGTATCATGTGCATAAAACTAGTTCAACTTGGATTCCTCCCTTTGCTGGCCGTCATACTGTTGGGCTGACATGAGCCAAGTGATCATGGCAGATGGGAAAGCTAAGGGAGACAACTCTGTACAGTAGTTGCAACACCTTAGACGAATAAGACAACTTTGGGGTGAGTGGGTGAGTTTCACTCTGCTTTTAGCAATATTCTGCAAATTCCTGTAATTACCCATCAGCCATTTCCCAAGGTTCTGGAGGTTTCCGGAACTTGTGGTCCATACAACCTCCCCCTCGAGAGCCCCGACCCATCTTTGGCGCCAGAGAGCCACAGGAATACATCTGGAAACAAAACCATACAATTAGGACATGAACCGGCTGTGTTTATATATTTGGGGCTGTGTGACAGGCTCAAGTATTTATAAATATGTACATAACTTTTACTTAAGATTTATTAGTTAGTCGTAAGGTTTAATGACCTTGTTACCATTTGAACTAATTGGGTGATAACGATATTTACATTAGGCTAAAAAAATAATAGTCTTGGTTATCAGGCACCGCCCGCATCATCATAAAGTCTGCTGCACGTTTTGCTTTTATTTCCATTTAAAAAAAAAACACATAAAAAACATCCTTATACTAGGTAATAACAACGTAATCCAATATAGCACACGGTTACTTACCATTACATGCGCACTACTTTACTGCACATCTCATGTTATGGTTATGATAATAGGGTAGAATATGTTATAGTTCTGTAAACATTTGGTGTTCAGTGTTATTTCTTTTTCTTGGGTTGTTGGTGCTATTGTCTTATCATGTTGTGGGGTAAGTTCGTGGACCCTGTTAGCCCCTACCCGCCTCCTGTCTGCCTACAATTTGCACTGCCACAGTTGTCTAACTGTAGGTTAGATATATTATTCTAATTTGGAGCTGAGTGACAACTAGATGGCATCGTACGACATGAGAGTCTGCGAGGTTTTACTGACACATGATTGTGTCGCACTGACACACTGACTCATTGTGAGTGTTCTGTTGTTCTGATAATAATTACTTCCTGACAGTTCTTTATAAATTCATTTTGTAAAGCTCAATTTTCATGTCCTTTTAAATGATTTGTAATTATTTATCAAGCATTCTACCTTCAAACTGAAGAATGCTTGATTCTGACAGGTCAAAACAAGATGCCTAATTCCATTTGATGCCTCAAAATTAACATGCCTTTCCAAACACAAACCCTGCATATGAAAACATTGATCTATCAATAGTCAATGCATCGATGCACATAACAATGGCTGCCGATTTCCCCTTAGAATTGAATACGTTCAAGTTTACCATAGTATGTTCATTTCTTCAACAGTGCTCTTGAACCATATGAATAATCACCATTACTAGTATGGATGAATCAAATAAAAAGGTACATGCAATTCTGACCATTACTAAACTAGGTTTAGAAGATATGAGACTTGTGTGACAAACCTGTTGATCAGTGTGTAGTTCCATGTCGTTGTCACGGAGACGCTTGACCACCCCGTAGGTTGCCGGCCCCTTGTCGAGTCCACTGTACTTCTCCACACATGCGGCCTGGTGCTCCACCCCTTCCAGCCCCGCCTTCAGCTTGGGGAGGATCACACTCATCGACTCCTCACCTACACAGCGCAGTTGGAGAAGTTGCAATGATGACCCTACATTCTACTGGTTGCAATGGTGCCTTACATTTTACTGGTTGCAATGATGACTTTACGTTCTACTGGTTGCAATGACCTTACATTTCTTCTGGTTGCAATGTAAGTACATTCTACTGGTTGCAATGATGACCTTAAATTCAATTTGTAGCAATGACTTCTTTACATTCTACTAGTTGGGGACAGAGTGGATGAGGCTATACATGGAAATCAGTAAATTAGCAGTGCTATCATGTCAGCCTAGCAAAACTGATGTCCTTGAACATTGTAGAACATGTGGGCTAGTTCTCACCGTACGCCTGAACCACATGAGCCAGTGCAAGGGCGGCGCCCTGCCTCACAGACGGGATGTTGTCCTCCAGGTTGCTGAAGAACAATGGATACAGCTCCGGCATGGTCCCTCTGAAACAAACAACTCATTCTCATGTCCCGGACAATCTCTACACACAAACTAAGAAATGTTCGTAGGTAAATCAAAGCAAAAAACAACCAAAAATCTTCAATTCTTAAAGTCAACCCTCGACACCTTGGCGATGAGAAAGAGAATGGCTTGGGAAGGTATACTAAGTGGTCAAGAAAGCTGAGGTCGGGTAGCATGGGATTGATTGGTGCGTGATGTGTTGGGGGAGGTGTTTTTTTTAAGTTGGAAACTTTGTTCTGAGGCGTTTCCACACCAGGATTGAAGAAGGGAGAGAGATGCATTATGTATTTTCTGAGATGACAAGAGTTAGGAGACCCATGGTGCTTAGATACAGTCCTGTTATGGTCGGTTGCATATGATTATGTCTGATTAATGAGTATGTGGGATAAACAAAATTAAGTATCAACATTCGTGATCGAAAATCGGACAACTACACGATAGATAATGATACAAACACTAATTGTTCATCAATTGTTTATTGTCCAGCAAGTTTATCTCTACAGTTTATCTCTACTCGTCTCGCATCAAAACACGGACTGTGTACTCACGGGCAGATGACCATGGAGTACGCTGATCACTGTGTCGGATTAAGGAGACTGATTAATGAGTAATTTCGGTAATTCTTTGCAAATTAGGTGTGTTGGAGTGCGAGACTGATTTAATTGGTTCCCATCATTAGTGTCGGATAAAGCCGATTGTCGGATTAATGAGACTTGACTGTATTTAGGTTAACATGTTTCATTCTCATGTGTCAAACGCCCATTGTCAATACTTATAGGTTGATACTTTCCCCCATCAACAAGAAATACACAAGACCATTTATCAATAGCCAAGGAATCAAGACAGGGAATGGTTCAAGTGAGAGGGGAGCCAATGAGTGCTCAGTTTATATGGTGTGTCTCATGCAACATGTGCCCCAACCTTGTGGCCATCTAAAGTTTGTTTCATGTCGTCAATAGCGGTAATCTGACCATGGTTGCTGTTAATAACGGTGGTTGTGTAATTGGAAGATCGCTTCACACACGATTTCGCTGAAATTAATTAAGTCATTATTAAAAGGAATTTTGAATAAAATTAATGAAATAAGTTACAAACATTAGTCCAGATATACAATGAACATTTTTTATAACCAGGCAGTGTAATTACATGATTTTGCGTACTTCAGTATGGATTTGTTGACATGGTATTTCCGGTGTTACGTGCTCACGGTAATATCTTTCCATGGGGAAAAAAAACATCAAAACTCATTATTTCGTGTATAATGCGCACCCCCTTCTACACAGCTGTGTTTTTTGGAAAAAAAGTGTGCACTATACCTAAGAAAATACAGTACTCTACATACAGCTTCAGTATCAGGCAACGGTAGGGTTCACATGGAGTAGGACGCATTTCACATCGAGGAGTTACAATATAAGTTATAGCAGGATCACGAGGGGTACATGGGGTTTTACGTGTCCCTGGTTAGGTTTTATACCACGAGCCGACATGTTTAAATATGACATTGTAAGTTACCGAGGACTCGTGGTATAGAACCTAACCAGGGACACGTAAAACCTCATATTCCCCTCGTGATCCTGCTACAACAGATTTATCTTACCGACATGTTTAAATATGACATTGTAAATTACCGAGGACTATAGTATAGAACCTAACCAGGGACACGTAAAACCTCATCTTCCCCTCGTGATCCTGCTACAACAGATTTATCTTACCGACATGTTTTAACATGACATTGTAAATTAATTAAATCAATTAAAAATTGATAGAAAACAGCTGTTCGGTTGAGCTGAGGTTAACTTGTGCTATGTCACATCACGGTCATTGACTCGGAAAAAGGGATGTATCTCTCAGAAACCCATGTGCAGCCTGACTAGCTATGGCGGGGTATAGGAGATTTAGTCACCCACTAAGAATCTATTTCCCCTCAAGGCAGGATACACAGTATTTTATCTAGATTACGTGGACAGTCAGCTGTCATTATTCTGACAGAGAGGTATGATAAATGGCCTTATTTCATGATTTAAATGAAAATTGACAGACACCACTACACCACAAAGTGGTCGGATGTATTCACAGGTGATGGAGGAAAATAGTGTGCACAGAACGTGTGAAGTAATGACGATGCAAACACCCAAACCCTGTGGCAATATCACACACTTGACAAGGCACATACCCAGCAATCCTCTATTGATGGAGTCTCACGACATTCTTCCATGAACATGCTCCTTCACTCACCTGGACTCCTCGGGAAAACACTTGATGAAGTTCCCACAGGCCACACAAGCAGCTGAAACATACCAGTCAGATGCCATGTACAGAATGGTGGTATGGGTTGTGGTCATGGTATTGTAATATTGTGGTTTCAATGTTGCAATTTTCAGGAATGGGACAATTAGATGACCTCTATCCACTATTTATTTCTGTGCCACGTTTCCTGGGACTACCTACCATCTCGGACCGGCCAGCTGTCATCATTGAAGCACACCACCAGGGCAGCCAGGAGCTGGGGAATGTTGGGGCTCACCACCGTCTTCTCCACCTGCCACACAAACACAAGCTCTTGTCAGCCATGTCTCTCCCTGCCTTCACCCATGTCTCTCCCTGCCTTCACCCATGTCTCTCCCTGCCTTCACCCATATCTCTCCCTGCCTTCACCCATGTCTCTCCCTGCCTTCACCCATATCTCTCCCTGCCTTCACCCATATCTCTCCCTGCCTTCACCCATGTCTCTCCCTGCCTTCACCCATGTCTCTCCCTGCCTTCACCCATGTCTCTCCCTGCCTTAACTCATATCTCTCCCAGCCTTCACCCATGTCTCTCCCTGCCTTCACCCATGTCTCTCCCTGCCTTCACCCATATCTCTCCCTGCCTTCACCCATGTCTCTCCCTGCCTTCACCCATATCACTCCCTGCCTTCACCCATGTCTCTCCCTGCCTTAACTCATATCTCTCCCAGCCTTCACCCATGTCTCTCCCTGCCTTCACCCATGTCTCCCTGCCTTCACCCATATCTCTCCCTGCCTTCACCCATGTCTCTCCCTGCCTTCACCCATATCTCCCTGCCTTCACCCATGTCTCTCCCTGCCTTCACCCATATCTCTCCCTGCCTTCACCCATGTCTCTCCCTGTCTTCACCCATGTCTCTCCCTGCCTTCACCCATATCTCTCCCTGCCTTCACCCATGTCTCTCCCTGTCTTCACCCACATCTCTCCCTGCCTTCACCCACATCTCTCCCTGCCTTCACCCATATCTCTCCCTGTCTTCACCCATGTCTCTCCCTGCCTTCACCAATGTCTCTCCCTGCCTTCACCCATATCTCTCCCTGCCTTCACCCATGTCTCTCCCTGCCTTCACCAATGTCTCTCCCTGCCTTCACCCATATCTCTCCCTGCCTTCACCCATACCTCTCCCTGCCTTCACCCACATCTCTCCCTGCCTTCACCCATGTCTCTCCCTGCCTTCACCAATGTCTCTCCCTGCCTTCACCCATATCTCTCCCTGCCTTCACCCATATCTCTCCCTGCCTTCACCCATACCTCTCCCTGCCTTCACCCACATCTCTCCCTGCCTTCACCCATGTCTCCCTGCCTTCACCCATGTCTCTCCCTGCCTTCACCCATATCTCTCCCTGCCTTCACCCATGTCTCTCCCTGCATTCACCCATGTCTCTCCCTGCCTTCACCCATGTCTCTCCCTGCATTCACCCATGTCTCTCCCTGCCTTCACCCATGTCTCTCCCTGTCTTCACCAATATCTCTCCCTGTCTTCACCAATATCTCTCCCTGCCTTCACCCATATCTCTCCCTGTCTTCACCCATGTCTCTCCCTGTCTTCACCAATATCTCTCCCTGCCTTCACCAATATCTCTCCCTGTCTTCACCAATATCTCTCCCTGCCTTCACCCATGTCTCTCCCTGCCTTCAACCATGTCTCTCCCTGCCTTCACCCATGTCTCCCTGTCTTCACCCATATCTCTCCCTGCCTTCACCCATATCTCTCCCTGCCTTCACCAATATCTCTCCCTGTCTTCACCAATATCTCTCCCTGCCTTCACCCATGTCTCTCCCTGTCTTCACCAATATCTCTCCCCGTCTTCACCAATATCTCTCCCTGTCTTCACCCATATCTCTCCCTGTCTTCACCCATGTCTCTCCCTGTCTTCACCAATATCTCTCCCTGCCTTCACCAATATCTCTCCCTGTCTTCACCAATATCTCTCCCTGCCTTCACCCATGTCTCTCCCTGCCTTCACCCATGTCTCTCCCTGCCTCCACCCATGTCTCTCCCTGCCTTCAACCATATCTCTCCCTGTCTTCACCCATATCTCCCTGTCTTCACCAATATCTCTCCCTGCCTTCACCCATATCTCTCCCTGCCTTCACCCATATCTCTCCCTGTCTTCACCCATATCTCTCCCTGCCTTTCCCGGCCTTCAGCCATATCTCTTTCTGCCTCCACCACATCATCTAACTACAAGGTTGTGGTTGGTGTGAGAAACAAAATCCCTAACCACTACGTTACCTAAGCACCCAGTCTGAGTTTTGGTGCAATTAGGATCACATAAACATATCTAACCTTTGAGCCGAGTTCTGCGATGCAAGCACATGCAGCCTCCCGCACTGCATGGTTGTCAGCCTCAGTCTGGGCGATGTAGAACTCCACCTGGTGGCACAATACGACATCATACATCACAAGACATCTCCACGACTATATCACTGATTGTGATCTTGCTGCCTTCAAGCTTTAAAACTATAATAATACAAGTGCAGTATGTTTTGGGATATTTTTTCATAAATAATTAAACAAAAAGATGTGAGTGAGTTTTGTTTTATGCCGCTTTTAACAATATTCCAGCAATATCACAGAGGGGAACACCAGAAATGGGCTTAACACTTTGTACCCATGTCGGGAATCGAACCCGAGTGTTAGTGGGGTCCAAGGGTGCTTAGTGGGGAATTGTAAATTAATCCCTGATATATTGGAGGAGTCCCAGGAGTCTTCCGTAAACAGAAGCCATTTGGTTTGGGGCTTTTTTCTTGAAATTTCAAGATGTTATGTTGAAATTTCAAGATGTTATGTTGAAATTTCAAGCTATATACTAAGTTGAAATTTCAATATGATAACCTTGAAATTTCCAGATATTAAGTGGAAATTTTAAGATTTTAACTTGAAATTTCAACTTAGTATCTGGAAATTTCAACATGCCATGTTGAAATTTCAAGATTCTATGTTGAAGTTTCAAGAAACATAAGTTGAAATTTCAAGATACTTAGTTGAAATTTCAAGATTTTGCTTATCTTTAAATTTCAAGAAATAAAAGGAAAAAAATGGCCCTCAAAGGCTCCCGTACCTGTATGCCTCTGCTTCAATACGGTATAAACTTCTGAAGCTGTCGTAAAAGTCTTTTTCATATTGAGACTGTTGCCTAATTGTTATCTTGAGTGAGTGAGTGAGGTTTTACGCCCTTTTAGCAATATTCCAGCAATATCACAGTGGGGAACACAAGAAATGGCTCCACACATTGCACCCAGACGAGCAAATGCTTTAACCACTAGGCTACCCGACTGCCCTACACAAAAAGGAAGAAGAATGAGGGTAGTACAGAAGTCCATACCACATTCTTGATGTATTTCTCCACCAGTGACTTGCCCACTCCGTGTGTGATAAGCTTCCACGTCTCCTGCGAGTATATCCGGACGCCCTCGGCCACGTAGTACCGGTTGAGACACATGCGGGGCAGCAGGCAGGAGTAGTACTTCTCCCGCGCCTCCTCCGCAGACAGTTTCATGAGGAACTTCCGTGTCGCCACAGAACTAGCCAGTCTCACCTGTAGAGGAGTAAGGGACATGCTGTCAACTCCCGTAAAGTGGCACATCAAGGAGTACCTTCCAACTGAATTAAGTAATATACTCAGCGACAAGAGAAATGCAGATACCATACATGTTGGTTAATGTATGAAGAATTACCTATATAAAAGAGATATTAGATTGGTTCGATGCACAAACAAACATACTGGTATGTTGCATGAACCAACGTTCATGAACGCATCTCATGTGATGTCTTAGATCCATGACTCAAGATGCACCATTTGTCTCGTGCAGGATTAGTGTGTTAAGTTTGGAAATCACGTGATAAGAATAAAGAATGTATTCCACATCACTGTTTATTGAGCAGCACTTATAGCAAGTATATAAACAATGTCATTCAAACACTAATTACATCCTGTGAATTGTCACTGCCGGGGTCAAGACAAGAGTTCTACTCACTTATGTCATCACTGATCACACCTGCAAGTCCAGACAGGCGCCACCCACGCAACACGGCGTCTTGGTTCTTTGCGACTGTGTCAAAGGCCGACACGAGCCAGCGCGCATGTATTGTTTTAGCAGAAGTACTTTACTCAGCGCTAATAAGCAGTGCTATTTGGTGTGTGGTTGGATTAATGTAAGGTTTGATTAAGGTGAGGATTCTCCTGTAAACCTGACAGGACATTTTCTTTAGATATAAATCCACTGATGCTTGAGAGGAGGGGGGTGTCGCATTCATATTGAGTCGCATTTATGGCTAGGGGCCAGCGGTCGCATTCTTTTGTAGACGCATAATTTCACGATTTACAGTATATATTCTACATTGAACTTTCAACTTCTCCCTAAATGCTTGATATGCCTGATGTAACCATAGCTATAGTTATAATGTCTCCAGCACATTCAGATGAAGGATACGAGTTACTTCATCAAGTTGATAATGCATTCACAAGATCTAGATAACTACCTGGCTCCAGTTGTCAGCAAGGCCCTTCCCCAAGTACTCTGAAAACTGATCACCATGGCGATAGATGGCATTATCTTCTACCTGTCCTTCATCCTCTTTGGTTTCTGAAATAAGTCATTAATGACATTACACACAAAGAGAAACCACACTTCTTTTACAAGTTATTTCTGTGTAAATCTGAAGAGGTTTTTCTCATAGAATATGAAAAAGTATAGCTATTTCAGTGAAATATGACAGATGTTTCTTCAGTTTTAGAAACAAAAGATCTTGATAACTTGATCCAAGTGTACGAGTGAGTGAGTGAGTGAGTGAGTGAGTGAGAGTGAGTGAGTGAGTGAGTGAGTGAGTGAGTGAGTGAGTGAGTGAGTGAGTGAGTGAGTGAGTGAGTGAGTGAGTGAGTGAGTGAGTGAGTGAGTGAGTGAGTGAGTGTGCTGTGTTTAAAGCCGCTTTGAACAGTATTCCAGTTATATCACAGAATGTCAGCTTAACAAGCTTAATGTGGGAGGAAAGTCTGAAGCGATGCAGGTCTTAGACGTTTACAACTTTGATGAAACCCACGAATACGAGTATGGTAGTGACAAACCCAGAAAAGGATCCAAACCCGCGATCAAAGGTTTCTGCAGTGCCCAAGGGACACAACTCTGCACAGCGAATTGATGACCCCGTGCTAAGAGCGATGAACTACCGCTGACATGACCCAGTGGGGGTCTGCATCTTTGAGTTGATTCCTATTTACCGCTTCTTACCTTTAGGACCGGAGTCCACAAGAGATGAGCACACGTAGTAGCCAGTCTCGCGCACGAAGCGGTTGGTGTGTACGAGTGCAGCAAAGATAAGGTCGAGCAGTTCCTGGTCCACAAAGGAGTTGAAGCTTGGGCCACAGCCTTCTATAGCGGCTTGCAGACATCTGGGGAACAATTACACACATGTGAAATACTGTATATCATGACATTACTGCAGCACCAACTTAATGCGAGTGCCAACCCCTATTCAAAAATTTGTCATGAAATTAATGTAGGCATGGTAAGTGACAATACATTTGAAATAAATGAATACAATTGGATCCTGGACTGCAGACCTCATTCAGATAGCAATCATTCACAAAAATTAGTAAAATCTAAATATCTTTTACATTTGTAAACTTATCCTGCATTACTCCGTATTGCATTTACTGCTGTCTTTTGACAGAGAGACGAACTGTGTGAGATTCAGCTGCTGAAGAAAGTTGTCCCAACCAGTACAGGAAGCAGCGCATCATACAGTCCCCGTGTAGATGGACGGTGGGCTGAAGCAATAGACTTGGCCGCTCTAGCCGAATAGCCCTTGGCTCAAGGGGCTTTCTGCAGATGTGCCAGGCGTGCAGACAAAACCATGCGGGTATTAGGGTGTGGCAACAGACTGTGTGGATGGAGCAGAAGGTTGGAAGTTCCAGGGGCTGTCTCTGGCGATGTTTCGGAGGTAGATAAATCAACTTCTGGCCGGCCACCAAGGCGCGACCAAAATCAGTGTCAGGTGCCGAGTGGCCTGGATCTCTGAAGAACCATGGGAGGGAGAACTGGAGGCAGAAAAGCATACGCGTGTATTCCTTCCCAGGAACAACTGAAGGCGTTGACTGCCACAGCGGCCGGATCTGGCACCTGTGAAATGTAAGGCGACAGCTGGCAGTTCAGAGATGTGGCAAACAGATCAATGTTTGGTGCGTTGACCGTTTGACATAGTCTGGCGAAGGCCTCTGGGTGGAGCTTCCATCCAGTGGGAGCAACCTAGTTAGGCCTGGACAAAGCCTGTGCCAGAACATGCTCTCAACCAAGACGAGCTCCTTTTTCTTAAAGTACAGGTCCAGGCTGACTACCAAGTCGAGGAAGTGGAGGGTCTGGTTTAGCAGGGATGGAGAGTGGAGAGTACCCTGGTTCCTCAAACACCACACTATGGTGATGTTGTCAATGGACATGATCAACAGGGCGTGACCGAGAATTCTCTGCCAGCAAGTGACGTCCTGGATAAGCACTTTTATCTCGAGGCTGTTGCTGTGCCAATGGTGTTGATCTCCGGATCACAGTCGGTCACAACGTGGGCTGGTGTGGGCAAGCCCAGAACACTAGCCACTGACAAGGTGGAAGTGGCAGTGGAAGAGAGGGAAGTCATGGTATATGAGGTTGTCTACAAGACTGTAAAGTTGAAAAGTCAGCAACAGGGCTCTCCGAAAGTGTACCGTCGGGACGATACGTGGAGAGGTGTGCTCGCCTGCGAACCAAACCCCAGACGAAATAAACCAGCTTCACATTCGACCGCAGAGGCATCGACGTAACCGAGTAGTTACGAGGCAATATGTCTAGAAGAGAATGAGGAAATCTGTAAAACTGTGGTTCGGGTAGATCGCACCGTACTGCACGAAGTAATGTGATCGTTTCCATCCCCTGAGCGTCGTATAAGCGTCCTGGTCTTATATCGAGGTGACGATGAAGGACGACATACAAGGCAAATAGTCAACAGGGGTCGATGGAACGGTCGTGGAACGAAGTATAAAATCGATGCTGTGTCTGGAAGCCAAGGCTGAAGATATGAAGGTGTCTTGGTCTAAAAGATCAAACCATAGGTCTATCTTTTCCATCATCTGTGCATGGATGGCTTGTGACAGGCATCTGGTTGAGTGATTGCACCATGCATACATGTAAGCATGCAAACCAATCTGTAGAAATACATTGCACTGCTCACCATGGTCAGTTGACCTAATTCTGGTCGGAGTTGTTGACCGTCCTAGTACTTGACACGTGACATGTGAATCACTCTGCGCAGTAGCCGAGAAAGCTGTATTAGAGCCGGAAATGAAGTGCAACATCCACAGGCAGACAATCCTCAATGAACTGTGCGGTAGACAAACAAGTGGTGTACCCAAGTCTTGTGAAAAAACGGGGGATCACCGGGGGCGCCGTGGAAAACCCGGGGAGCGCCGAGGTAGAGCCTCTTTGAGGAACGCTGCAGTAGGGCAGGGTAGAGGAGCGTTGGTGTCGGCGATGTTGACGAAGAAGAGAGTGGATGTCGTCGTCGAATGGCGGGGACAGTGCAGGGTGATATGATACACTGTGATATGCGAGACCAGTCAACCATGATCCCGAGAAGTGGGTACCCGGTAGCCTATGACGAAGGGGTCAAACAGGCTAAATGAGCCTAACAGTGAAGATCTGCCAGTTCTGATACAGACGCTGTCCACCAGAAGCTCTGTTTCGATGGACACTCACAGGTCATCTCTCCGAAAGCATGGTGCTTTAAACGGCGGGGTTAAGGAGAACGTCACCAGTGGGCAAGATGAATCAGACCAAATGTCTATTGGTTGAAAAGATTCCTCCCAGGAAGTTGAACGATACGAAACGATCCCGAAGACCTACTGGAGAGCAGCGACAGGAGCAGACAATTGTTTCACCTTGCTTCCCTGTGTGACGATCTATGAGATGTCAGTAATAGAAGCAGATGTCAGTAGCGCCGGAGAGGCGATTGCCGATGGCACCCCTTATGCCGAAGCAGAAGATCGGTTGAGATAATCAGCTTGTTGATCTGAGCCCCTGGAGCGCCAGAGAGTTGAGGCGCTGGGAGCGCCGGAGGTGTTGCTTCTTGGGAGTGCCGGTGGTGTTGGTAGCGCCGGAGGCGCTGGGAAGCTCGGCTGAGCGTGGCTGCTGTCAATGTAGATGGCTGAGGAGACGGAAGACCCGTCCCGTTACGGGCATCACCGGAAGGGGCGATGTTGTCGATAAAGGTGACGGCAAGAGTGGTGTAGAAAGACCGCAGTCTCCGAGTTGTAAGCCATATCAGGGGGTCGACGAGCACGTTGAGTGAGGTGTGTCCTTGATACTCGTATCGAGTTGAAGGAGCACAGCGATAAAGGACTGCAACATAGGCACTGCCTTGTGAAAGCACAGGGTGTCGTACAAACACGGCAGAAGGGGCGGCCCCGACCAGATTTGTTCCCACGGCAACAAGTGCAGTGAGGCAGAAAATCGGGAATTCAAGCAAAACGTAACCATGTGGCACAACCACAAAGGGAAGCATAATGTAACTCAAAAACTTTGCATTTTATTGAAGTTTATGAGAGGAAACAATTACGCTGAAAGGTAGCGAAAAAGGCAAGGCTTGAAGCCCGCCAAAAACAAAATACATAAACTTGATGTATTACCCAAGCCAAAGGAAGAATTCAAAACGCAGAACACAAAATTACGTGGCCATGTGGTCAATGGCAAAAATGGCGGGAAAGACACAAAATGGCGGGAACAACATTGCGCCCATAAATTACTGTGACTAGAGCCACAAACGAGCGATAAACGTTACGAATGGGAAGACCCTAAGGTAACAGCCCATAAACAGGTAACAATGTAGCAGCATACGATGAATGTAGAAACACGCAAAATATAGAAACAATAAGCTTTAATTTCCACAAGGGATACAAAGTACGTCCGTCCGTGGAGGTGACAAAGCAGTTATGTGTTTTGATGTGACGTCATGACTTCCGGGTCACGTGCCGACTGTGAGAGGGCGCTGCTTCCTGTACTGGTTGGGACAACTTTCTTCAGCAGCTGGATCTCACACAGTTCGTCTCTCTGTCAAAAGACAGCAGTAAATGCAATACGGAGTAATGCAGGATAAGTTAAAAAATTAATATAATCACATGATTGATGCCAAGTGCCTAATTGTGTATTGTGGCTGACCTTTTCATGGGGCCTTCTTCAACGACAATTATGATGAAAATCTAGAAGCTGGCATGTTTAATAACAACCCAACCCCTTAAATCTTCATCTGCTTGATAAATTTAACAATTCAGTTCCAATTAAGACCTGTACAATTTCACATCCATGTTTAAATATCAACAAGCATATAACATTTCAGCCACTAAATGAACCCAGAAGTAACAGGGATTTGTTTCTTTATTTGTTGTTTAATGTCACATTCAGCAATATTCTAGCTTTATGATGGCGGGCTGTTAATACTCCTGTCTGGACCAGATAATCAAATGACTGATATTATAAGCTACAATCCACGCCTTCGGGATACAATGAAACACAATCACCAAAGTCCCCAGGCCTGACCACCCAATCCACAAAGTAGCTCCGTATGATGGCATGATAGTTTGTGGGACCAATCATAATCCAGAATCCCCTCCAGGGGGTTAATGAAGGACGGAAGATGGAGTACTACAGTAAAGCTCCAATTTTGTTTGTTCAGGTGAGCCAGTCAACACACTGAAGTTGATCACTGAACCATGAAAGCATCTTTATCGACAAGACCTAAAGTCTTACTTCATCCACGTCTCCAGGGACTTCCAGCCTGCAGTGTCATGGAAGATCTGCTCAGCACTGTTTCTCTGTGGAACATGACATAGGGTTGAAAAAGTAAAATAAATGCATTAAAAAACAACTAACTAACAAGGAAGAGAACCTGAACAAGTTCTTAGTTTTTGATTGATATGAGCGATCAAGTAACATAGTCAACATATTTCTGGATTTCACCTGAAGTGGCTCCAACAGACTGTGGGACTAATCATCCTGATAAGTTCAACAGTGAGTAAAATATGCATTACTGCAATACATAGGAATACCATCCCTTTTATATTAATACTTATTATAGGACACACTTTTCCATCCCAGTACTTTAACAGCATACATAAAACCTTTTAACAATGTCATATAATTGTTTTAACATTTATTAAAACTGTGACAATGCATTACTAATGACTGTTTTGAAATAGAACCCAGTGAATAACCCTTATTCCAAAATTCAGGAATACAGCATGATAAATGGAATGAAGTCTCTTTTATCCCCACCCTTTTCGTCCGCAAAACTTCCTTCCAGACGATCGTGTTGGGAACGTCTATAAGTATCCAAAGGGACATTACTCTGTAACAATGACTCCTTTATACAGACATTTCCTAATCTAGATTTCACTGGCAGCAGGGTCAGCCTGTTTAAGAAGGTTTCACTGTAGTTTGATATCTCACCCTTCGCTGCTGCCCTGCTGGGAGTGGGGATACGGGCGGGGATGGGGGCGGGGATTGGGGTATGGATCCTGGTACAAGCTTCTCCATCAACCTCTCCTGTTGACATCTATCATCTCCAGTTTCTCCATCTAGTGGCTGCCTTTCCAGGTTCTCACGTATCCCAGTCAAGACTTTCTCTCGGGCCTGCTTGTAAATGTCTGCACCTGCTGTTCTACATAACGAGCCAATCACTTCACCTACACAAAAAAAAAGGCAAGCATAAATGAGCATGTCAATGAATACTTACACAAAGACGTGCAGAGTTCATTCTAGAGTGCAGTCTTTGTTGCAGTATCTGACACCAAAAACAGGTGGTTTGATGGGCTCGTCATTGATTAACAGTCTTACGAATGGCTTACGTCAACATGGGGAAACCTTTTTATCCACGTCACAAAATCAACAACACAATGGTCCTGTCAAGCATCTTAAGATGCAAAGTTCTGAGTTTTTTTATGGAAAAGATGGCAACTATTGTGATGGGACAGTTGAAGGCAGACACTCCTATTCAATCAATCAATCAATCAATCAATCAATCAATCAATCAATCAATCAATCAATCAATCAATCAATCAATCAATCAATCAATCAATCAATCAATCAATCAATCATTCATTCATTCATTCATTCAATCATTCATTCATTCATTCATTCATGAGTACGCTGCTTTTAGCAATATTCCAGCAATATCACGGCACAGGACACCAGAAATGGGCTTCACACTTTGTACCCATGTCAGGAATCGAACCAGGGGCTTCGGCATGACGAACAAGCGCTGTAACCACTAGGCTCCCCGACCGCCCCCTATTCATGAGTTTGGTGATCACAAAACCAAACAGCAAGTTACAGAGCGAGCCAATTACAGCCTTATCATAATTTGGCTAATTCATACGCTAATCAATGCATAATGTTAGTGAATTGTTCTACGCATGATAACGCAAAATATTTTGGTTATGACTTAACCATGTTAACCGTGTTATTGTCAATGTGATATATTTTATTGAATACTTTATTATGTCCTGTTGACATGGAACAGATCATGATAAGGAGGAATCTACTGTAGGTAATGAAAAAAGCAGGTTTTAGGCCTGTATCTTGATAGGATTGAAATTTGTTTTAACATGTTTAATGCAGGCCTCAAAGTTTAAATTTTTACCAAGTAGCCATATAGCTACAAGTATTTTCTTCCAGGTAGCCAGTGGTAAAATCCAGAAGTCAAGCCAATATTGTTGGAAGCCAAAAGCATTTGAAATTATCTTTATCAAATAACTACTATAATATGTACAAGTAACAGCACTAGTCTTGAAATTGTATATTAGTGGAAACTGTACTTGATTATTGTTATTTGTGACTCGAAGAATGATGCAATTTATGTTACTAGATTATATAGGTATATCCTTGCTTATCCAATGTGCATTGTCAACTAAATTAAACTACTAATTACATTAATAATTATGTATTTTGGTTCATTGTCGACTTTAGAAGGAGTTATTTGCGAGTACAATTATCAGCAGATATGTTTTCCAATATCAGCTGTTATTTATTTTTGTGTCTACAGATGAGTAGCAATAGAATTTAGTTGCCACAATATATTTTTCTAGGTAGTCATTTGGCTACCTCTGAATTTTAGACAGTAGACAAACTGAAATTTAGGCCACATTGGCTACCGTTTTAGTTGCAACTTTGAGGCCTGTAATGTGTAAATATATATTTCAAGTAAATTTGTATTCCAGTTGTAAGACATCAGTTCAACAATAAGACTTACCGATTGTCAAAAATAAATATCACTATCATCATTGATAATCATGATAAGTTTGGATTAATATGTGGTCAACTTGATCAACAGTGATTAATCATGTTAATAGTCCAAGGTACAAACTGATAACATGCTTACTTGCCCATCTTTTACCTAAGCTAAAATAACAATCATGAATAATGTTTTATTACCTGCTGATATTCTAACACGATACTCCTTGTCATCCAAGAGAATGAGGGACTTCTGAAGAACTCTATTCCCATATTCTGTTGAAAAGTGTTGACTGTCCATGATCGTCTTTGCGGCCATAAGGGACCCATGCTTCTTTTCCCACGTACTGTCATCATCTGACATCAAATCAACAAGCTTGTTTTCAAATTCCCTGACATCATCAACATTTTGTTTTTTAAGAAATTCTTGCAGCTGTTGTAAGCCTTTGTCCCGATCAAGTTTGGCTGTACTGCACAGCAATTTCAACATATCTTCCGCCATATTTAAACATAGGGTGACTCTGTATTTGTAAAACTGAAATATGGATTTGATTCCAAAGTACTATTCAGAGTATACATCTTAAAACATATTACTGCATAGCACAAAAAGTATGAAATATTGATATAATATAACAAAAATGAAAATATATGTAAATCTTTATTTATAAACCCTTTCCAAAGAATTTGTTTCCGTTTGTAATTGTCAATTATACTTTTCGATTATTCAGTCTATCGCGATTGACTGAGACGTGTGATTTGATTGGATTAAGATTTGGACAATAACCAATAAAAATACACTTTGCAAATTACTCAGAAGCGGCCATTTTAGAAGCCGCATGAAAACAACAAGCGTGCTTCTTCATAATTCTTAAGAAATGGGTGTTCCAGCATTTTTTAGATGGCTAAGTCGCAAATATGCCTCCATTGTGGTGCACTGTGTGGAAGAAAAGGTAAGTTATTAAAATTCAAACGTCTTTTTGTTCCACAAAGTAAGATTGCGTTTAACATGAAATCAAAGCGTGATGATGCGATTGGCCCTGTTTTAAAGTATTGTTTGTGCACAGACATTGTCACACATCATGTGATTCTTATGCAATAGCCCATGGTTCTGTTCAGCCAAAGTGTTTGCATTCTCTAAATGCTGATTGATAAATAATCGTGTTTAGTGCATTACTCCTGATACTGATTCAAAGCGTGAACAAATAGTTAGTGCAACTTGCAATAAGGCAGCAAGTTTGAGAATATTTACACCATAATAAAAATGTGTGCAGACAGTATCTCTGGCTTTTGAATAATGCTCACAAGACACATTCTGAGCATGCACAATAGCCAAAATGGGAGTCATGCGCTTTTCAGGGGACAATGTTTATAGTGATTAATGCAGAACTGTTAACACTTGGTGAAAACAATGACAAGCGTGCCAAGTGAACATGCATGTGAACAAGTTTGGAATATCACCATGATCACATTCTAGAAATAACCATTATGATAGTCTAATGACCGATACATTGATGATTAAACATGTTAAAGGGACAGTTCTTCGTTGAGTCTGCACCATTACATCAACATGATCAACATACTGTATTCAATGTAATAAGCGCCCACCGTGATATTTGCTAATATATTGGCTAGTTAACAATTCTGATTGATCAATGAACACAAGACTTATTTATTTGTGTATAATATGCGCTCATGTGTTATATGCACCCCTAATTATGGGCTATTAAATTCTGGAAAAATATATCTGTCGTATATAATATTCACGGGCATTTCTTTTGTATCATTTCAGGTAAACCTAGAAATTTTCAATCTTTCAACTCAGTTTTGTTTTCACCAAAATTATATTCTAATAAGAGCCCCCTATTTCTAATTTTGAGAGTTCCCTGGGTGCTTATTACGTCGAATACGGTAATTATGTCATGAAATATTTGTCTTTCATTGTTAACATGGTTAAAATGTCCTAAAACATAAAAACTATTTCCATTTGCGTATTCTCAACATCTGGTCATCGAAGCCCTACGCAGAGCAATCAATATACACTCAATTTGATGTGTAAAGCTATATCGTCATGCATCTCACTGTTGCAGTTGTTGAAGTATAAAGTGTATAAAAATACGACAGCGCACTTGCATTAGGTCTGTCTGTTCTAATTTGAGAATAACTGTTTATTTACTAACAACAATAAAGTCTGGTCACGTCATAGGCCTACACTTGCTGTGTGGTTACTGGAAACTGAATAGGGCGAGCAGAGCTGAGTAGGCATGGTAAGCTCAGGGGTTATCAGCTCTTGTTTACAAACAAAGCTTCAGAACGGTTGACGTCCTGTCCCTTCACTTAAAATGATACGTTAAGAATGATAAACTGAAAGGATTGAACTTTACCCAGTTTTATGGGCACAAAGTTTTGCATTTCAATTTAGCACTACTCCCACCATGATAATCAGATAATGCCAGTTATGAATTGTGCATGTTTGTTTGCAGCCGAAGGAGGTGAATGGGGTCATGGTGCCTGTTGACAGCAGCAAGCCTAACCCCAATGACGTGGAGTTTGACAACCTCTACTTGGACATGAACGGCATTATCCATCCATGCTGCCATCCTGAAGACAAGTAACACTTATATGCCTTATTTTCATTTTCAAATTTATTGGCCTGTTTCCACAGAAATTAAGCTCTTACACTTAATTTCCAGGTTATTAACATGATAAGATTAACATAATTATCTATGATCAGAATGAAGCTTAAGGATGAAATAACTGAATCTTGTTTATGCTAATGGGTTAAGAAGTTGATGTTGGGCATTTATTTTCGAAACCACAATTCCATCATTGGTACCTTACATGTGAGCTATGATGCTGATGTTTGGCCTTACACAGGGTTAAGCATAAGTACTAGTTTCCCAAAGTTTAACTTTATTTGTTTGTTTGTTTAACGCTGCACTCAGCAATATTCCAGCTATATGATGGCAGTCTGTAAATAATCAAATCGGGACCAGACAATCCAATGATTGGCATCATGAGCATTGATCCATGCCATAGGGATATGATGACATGCATCAACCAAGTCAGCAAGCCTGACAACCTGATCCCGTTAGGTGCCTCTTACCACAATCATGGGTTGCTGAAGACCTATTCTACCCTGGATCTTCACGAGTCCCAAAATCTAAGTAATGGTTACTAAACATGATAAACAACGATCTGATTGAATCTGTGGACAACTTTGATTTCTATCCTTTGGTCAGCTGGTATTATTCTAGCTGTAGTACACATGTTGTAATGCTTAAGTTTTGTTTAATGGAAATATTGTTTTCCAAAATTATCAACGAAAATAGATAAACCAAGCTTCTTGAGATGGTATCAGCGTGTGAGCATTTTGGCATAATAGAAGCAGCCTTGTGGATTATGCATTTGCTCCTTATCATAACGTCCCTGGTCTCAATGGGCCTGTGTAATGGCAATTTTTGTAGTCCTCAGTTGTCACTCGCATGTCTAAATATACTTTTCCTTCCAGACCTGCTCCCAAGAATGAGGATGAGATGATGGTCCTGATCTTTGAGTACATTGATCGCATTTTCTCCATCGTGCGTCCCAGGAAAGTCCTCTACATGGCTATAGATGGTGTGGTGAGTAACCATAGTAACAGTTGTCATCCTGTCTATTATAAGTGGACTTCCAGATTGAAATGCATAGGTTAACCTGGAAATTGGTTTGCACAGGACGAAATTGTGAAATCAATAAATGACCGCACAAGATCAGTTAATCATCAATAATTAATTAAAACACAGTTTGGGTTTACAATCGAAAAGGCAGTACAATGGGTGAAATAAGTGTCACCAGCAATAAGCAACATGTCCTATAATTAGGTTAATGCTCTCACAAATGACTGGACTTGTCACTGTCAAATGTCTCCGTTCTTGAATCCGAAATAGTGTTGGAAGCTGACAGGAATTTGGTGTTCCAAAATAGGTATCCAAAGTGCACTTGGCAAGTAGATAGGAAACAAATCAGGTCAAAAGGCTACAAATTGCTCTTTTGTCACTCTCACCTAGGTACTGCCAGCCTTCTAGAAACTGTCCCATCCAGAAATGTCTCCAACAGTCAAGCCTGCCTTATTTATGTAAACAAGGGGCAGATAACTCAGCCAATGTTCAAATCTGGCCACAGAAACACTTGCTTTTTGTGACTAGCAGTTCAGTCATTTGCTGCCTCAGACAATCACTCCAACAGTTTCTACCACTGCAAATATTACTTGAATATAACAATGGATGTAATTTTCCTTCAGGCCCCTCGAGCAAAGATGAATCAACAGAGATCCAGGCGATTCCGAGCTTCAAAGGAAGCAATGTAAGACATGTTGAACATATCTACTCTCTTGGCAGTGTGCAGTAACCTTCTGTTCATAAAGAAGCACTGTCCCAAGTGAAACTGTCCGATTAACACATCAATGTTATGGTTTATGGTGTGTTTATACGTATACATTGGTATTTGGAAATAGTTGAAACCCCAGTGATTTTCTGGAAACTTGGATTTTGATGATAGAATGCTGAATAATTTTTATAGAGCTACTGGCTTGCGGCCTGTTATTGCCTAGGACCAATTATCGGCAAATCCTTGTTATAGCGGGCATGTGATCACAGCTCGTTTTACTTTTGCTGGGTTTCATTGGAAGAAAGAGATATTTTTCCATAAATGGTAAACAAAACTGACTCTTGTGAAAAAATATTAAAAAACAAACCATGTAATCGCCTTTCTAAAATACAACTTCAAAAGAGACACACAAGCAGTGTCATGTGACTACTTCATGCGTAAACAAAAATCTAACAACATGCTGATGCACATTCAGTTCTGTCCCTGCTTGCTACATGTATTTGTCTGTCATTTCTTCCATCGATGGGAAATTTCTATTTCCACTGTTTTGATTCCCTGTTGCCGCGTTATAACAGAAATCTATTGGTTCTTTTTCCATTGACAGAAATATGCACATTTGCTCATAGTTTCTCACAATTCAAAGTTTTTTGCTTTGTAAACTTTGTACACAGAATATTTCAGAAATGATATGACAAAAATGTCCATAACTGGTCGGTGACCAGTACATGTAGTCTATGGACAACATTTTATTGTTTATTGTTTATTGATCGTGTTAATGTGCAGTTTAACTAGTGTCAGACTAGTGGACTCTACCACTGTTATTGATGCATGGTACTACTTCCTCAGTGATATAGCTCATTGTTGTTCCAGAGAGAAGACGGAGATCATGGCTCAACTGAGGGAAGAGATCTTCGCGAAGGGTTGTAGTCTCCCTCCAGAGAAACCTGCTCAAGAAAAGTTTGACAGCAATTGTATCACTCCGGTTAGCATGATCACATTTGTTCTAACAGTAGGAATACCTATCGGCATAGATCAATGTCATTATGATCAAATCTTTAAGTCCAATGCGATACCTCTGTGAAGACCTGATGATACCTCCACAAGTCAGGTGGACCTTCTAATCGTTCAGTAAGGTTTTAATCAAACAATCAGGGTTAAGGCTTCTGTATTCTTGTGGGGGCCGTCGGGTAGCCTAGTGGTTAAAGCATTCGCTCATCACGCCGAAGACCCGGGTACGATTCCCGACATGGGTACAATGTGTGAAGCCCATTTCTGGTGTCCCCTGCCGTGATATTGCTGGAATATTGCTTAAAAGCGGCGTAAAACCATACTCATTCACTCACTCTTTATTCTTGTGACAAGTGAGCTAAACATGCTGGCAATCATGCCTGATTGCTGCATCTTGAAAATAAAGTTACATGTCCATTTTCAAATGTAAATAATAAAGGCTGCACCATTATTTGGTTGTGGATACTTTATTCACACTGTGGTTTCTGTTTTGACCTCTCATACAGGGAACGCCATTTATGTTCAAACTGGCCGACTGTCTGCGTTACTACATTCACGATCGGCTCAACCACGACCCTGGCTGGTCGGGCATCAAGGTCATCTTGTCTGATGCCAATGTCCCTGGCGAGGGAGAACACAAGATCATGGACTACATTAGAAGACAGAGAGGTAACAAATTTCATGTTTGCTAACTTGTCAATGATATTGATTATGAACTGTATTTTGAAACACAGAAAAAACTTTGAAGAAGCAAATATACTGGGATTATATTGGGATAACCTCCACTCACCCTTTGCCTAAACATTATCTTTTGGCAAGGAAATGTATTTGTGACTCAGCGTGGTCTGAGGTCTGTGATTGATGAGAGAGTAGATGAGAGAGTACATGAGAAAAAGATGAGAGATAAGAGAGTACATGAGAGATGAGAGAGTATAGGAGAAAGATGAGAGAGTACAGGAGAAAGATGAGAGAGTACAGGAGAGAGATGAGAGAGTACAGGAGAGAGATGAGAGAGTACAGGAGAAAGATGAGAGAGTACAGGAGAGAGATGAGAGAGTACAGGAGAGAGATGAGAGAGTACAGGAGAGAAAGATGAGAGATAAGAGTACAGGAAAGATGAGGGAGTTAAGGAGAGAAAGATGAGAGAGAAGAGTACAGGAGAGAAAGATGAGAGAGAAAGATGAGAGAGAAGAGTACAGGAGAGAAAGATGAGAGAGAGAAGAGTACAGGAGAGAAAGATGAGAGAGTAGATAAGAGAAAGATGAGAGAGTACAGGAGAGATGAGAGTACAGGAGAGAGATGAGAGAGATAAGAGTACAGGAGAGAAAGATGAGAGAGATAAGAGTACAGGAGAGAGAGATGAGTACAGGAGAGATGAGAGAGTACAGGAGAAAGATGAGAGAGTACAGGAGAGAGATGAGAGAGTACAGGAGAGAGATGAAAGAGTACAGGAGAGAGATAAGAGTACAGGAGAGAGAGATGAGTACAGGAGAGAAAGATGAGAGAGATGAGTACAGGAGAGAGAGATGAGTACAGGAGAGAAAGATGAGAGAGTACAGGAGAAAGATGAGAGAGTACAGGAGAGAGATGAAAGAGTACAGGAGAGAGATGAAAGAGTACAGGAGAGAGATGAAAGAGTACAGGAGAGAGATGAAAGAGTACAGGAGAGAAAGATGAGAGAGATAAGAGTACAGGAGAGAGAGATGAGTACAGGAGAGAAAGATGAGAGAGATGAGTACAGGAGAGAGATGAAAGAGTACAGGAGAGAGATGAGAGAGTACAGGAGAGAGATGAAAGAGTACAGGAGAGAGATGAGAGAGTACAGGAGAGAGATGAAAGAGTACAGGAGAGAGATGAGAGAGTACATGAGAGAGTACAGGAGAGATGAGAGAGATGAGTACAGGAGAGAGAGATGAGTACAGGAGAGAAAGATGAGAGAGTACAGGAGAGAGATGAAAGAGTACAGGAGAGAGATGAGAGAGTACATGAGAGACAGATGAGAGAGATAAGAGTACAGGAGAGAGATGAGTACAGGAGAGAAAGATGAGAGAGTACAGGAGAAAGATGAGAGAGTACAGGAGAGAGATGAGAGAGTACAGGAGAGAGAGATGAGAGAGATAAGAGTACAGGAGAGAGAGATGAGTACAGGAGAGAAAGATGAGAGAGTACAGGAGAGAGATGAGAGAGTACAGGAGAGAGATGAGAGAGTACAGGAGAGAGATGAAAGAGTACAGGAGAGAGATGAAAGAGTACAGGAGAGAGATGAGAGAGTACAGGAGAGAGATGAAAGAGTACAGGAGAGAGATGAGAGAGTACATGAGAGAGTACAGGAGAGAGATGAGAGAGTACAGGAGAGAGATGAAAGAGTACAGGAGAGAGATGAGAGAGTACAGGAGAGAGATGAAAGAGTACAGGAGAGAGATGAGAGAGTACAGGAGAGAGATGAGAGAGTACAGGAGAGAGATGAAAGAGTACAGGAGAGAGATGAAAGAGTACAGGAGAGAGATGAGAGAGTACAGGAGAGAGATAGGAGAGAGATGAAAGAGTACAGGAGAGAGATGAAAGAGTACAGGAGAGAGATGAGAGAGTACAGGAGAGAGATGAAAGAGTACAGGAGAGAGATGAGAGAGTACAGGAGAGAGATGAAAGAGTACAGGAGAGAGATGAGAGAGTACAGGAGAGAGATGAGAGAGTACAGGAGAGAGATGAGAGAGTACAGGAGAGAGATGAGAGTACAGGAGAGAGATGAGAGTACAGGAGAGAGATGAAAGAGTACAGGAGAGAAAGATGAGAGAGATAAGAGTACAGGAGAGAGAGATGAGTACAGGAGAGAAAGATGAGAGAGATAAGAGTACAGGAGAGAGAGATGAGTACAGGAGAGAAAGATGAGAGAGATGAGTACAGGAGAGAGATGAGAGTACAGGAGAGAGATGAGAGTACAGGAGAGAGATGAGAGCGTACAGGAGAGAGATGAGAGTACAGGAGAGAGATGAGAGTACAGGAGAGAGATGAGAGTACAGGAGAGAGATGAGAGAGTACAGGAGAGAGATGAGAGTACAGGAGAGAGATGAGAGAGTACAGGAGAGAGATGAAAGAGTACAGGAGAGAGATGAAAGAGTACAGGAGAGAGATGAGAGAGTACATGAGAGAGATGAGTACAGGAGAGAGAGATGAGTACAGGAGAGAAAGATGAGAGAGATAAGAGTACAGGAGAGAGAGATGAGTACAGGAGAGAAAGATGAGAGAGATGAGAGTACAGGAGAGAGATGAAAGAGTACAGGAGAGAGAGATGAGTACAGGAGAGAGATAAGAGTACAGGAGAGAGAGATGAGTACAGGAGAGAAAGATGAGAGAGATAAGAGTACAGGAGAGAGAGATGAGTACAGGAGAGAGAGATGAGAGAGTACAGGAGAGAGATAAGAGTACAGGAGAGAGAGATGAGTACAGGAGAGAAAGATGAGAGAGTACAGGAGAGAGATGAGAGTACAGGAGAGAGATGAGAGCGTACAGGAGAGAGATGAGAGTACAGGAGAGAGATGAGAGAGTACAGGAGAGAGATGAGAGAGTACAGGAGAGAGATGAGAGTACAGGAGAGAGATGAAAGAGTACAGGAGAGAGATGAGAGTACAGGAGAGAGATGAGAGCGTACAGGAGAGAGATGAGAGTACAGGAGAGAGATGAGAGTACAGGAGAGAGATGAGAGTACAGGAGAGAGATGAGAGTACAGGAGAGAGATGAAAGAGTACAGGAGAGAAAGATGAGAGAGATAAGAGTACAGGAGAGAGAGATGAGTACAGGAGAGAAAGATGAGAGAGATGAGTACAGGAGAGAGATGAGAGTACAGGAGAGAGATGAGAGTACAGGAGAGAGATGAGAGTACAGGAGAGAGATGAGAGAGTACAGGAGAGAAAGATGAGAGAGATGAGTACAGGAGAGAGAGATGAGTACAGGAGAGAAAGATGAGAGAGTACATGAGAGAGATGAGAGTACAGGAGAGAGATGAGAGTACAGGAGAGAGATGAGAGTACAGGAGAGAGATGAGAGTACAGGAGAGAGATGAGAGAGTACAGGAGAGAGATGAGAGAGAAGTGAGAGTACAGGAGAGAAAGATGAGAGAGATGAGTACAGGAGAGAGAGATGAGTACAGGAGAGAAAGATGAGAGAGTACAGGAGAAAGATGAGAGAGTACAGGCGAGAGATGAAAGAGTACAGGAGAGAAAGATGAGAGAGATAAGAGTACAGGAGAGAGAGATGAGTACAGGAGAGAAAGATGAGAGAGTACAGGAGAAAGATGAGAGAGTACAGGAGAGAGATGAGAGAGTACAGGAGAGAGTACAGGAGAGAGATGAAAGAGTACAGGAGAGAAAGATGATAGAATATAGGAGAGAGATGAGAGAGTACAGGAGAGAGATGAGAGAGTACAGGAGAGAGATGAGAGAGTACAGGAGAGAAAGATGAGAGAGATGAGTACAGGAGAGAGAGATGAGTACAGGAGAGATGAGAGAGTACATTAGAGAAAGATGAGAGATAAGAGTACAGGAAAGATGAGGGAGTTAAGGAGAGAAAGATGAGAGAGATAAGAGTACAGGAGAGATGAGAGAGTACAGGAGAGATGAGAGAGTACAGGAGAGAAAGATGAGAGAGAGAAGAGTACAGGAGAGAAAGATGAGAGAGAGAAGAGTACAGGAGAGAAAGATGAGAGAGAGAAGAGTACAGGAGAGAAAGATGAGAGAGAGAAGAGTACAGGAGAGAAAGATGAGAGAGTAGATAAGAGAAAGATGAGAGAGTACAGGAGAGATGAGAGTACAGGAGAGATGAGAGTACAGGAGAGAGATGAGAGAGTACAGGAGAGAAAGATGAGAGCAAGATGAGAGCGTACAGGAGAGAGATGAGGGCGTACAGGAGAGAGATGAGGGCGTACAGGAGAGAGATGAGAGCGTACAGGAGAGAGATGAGAGAGTACATGTTCTTTGTTTATGGTTTGGATTGTATGTGCGTTGCCTGTCACTGGAATGAGGTGTAATGAGTCTAATGACACCTGTACATTTCAGCCATGCCTGCCCATGACCCCAACACCCATCACTGTCTCTGCGGGGCTGACGGTAGGTGTTCACAAGCAATGTTTTAACATGCTTAGATGGCCAGGTAGAGCTCGTTTGAAGTAAGATGCAGTATTTCTGCTGATCAGTACACATGTACACCATACACTGAGTATCCAATATAGTTAACATGTACAGTCATCAGTAAATCATTGTAAAATGAATTTAATTAATTTGAGAATGCAACTAAAGTAACATTGTTGGAATGAAATCGACATCTGAATATGATTCGGTTATAAAAATAAGGAAATTTGTCTTGTTTCAGCTGATCTCATTATGCTGGGTAAGTATGCTTGGAAGATTCTGTCGTCAAATAAGTTGGATGATAATTTCTATACTTGAATTGTTGGATGGATATGTTCTGTTTAGATTGAATCTCAACTATTGTCATTATTTGAATGAAATGAATTTGATCTCAATTCACGTTGTACCAGGACTAAACTGAAGGGCCTTAATTCTGTCAATACAGGAATGTTGCTAAGTGTGGTTAAAATGACTTGTTTATGTTGCATCATCCACAGTTGTTTTGTCATGTATTATTGACCTCCCCTGTTGGTCAAAAGGGGTGTTTGGGGGCGGTAGGGATAGCATTGCGGTTAAAGCATTCGCTTGTCATGCCAAAGACCTGGATTTGATTGTCCACAAGGGTATATTGTATGAAGCCCATTTCTGGTGTCCCCTGCTGTGATATTGCTGAAATGTTGCTAAAAGCTATGCACACCATTCTCACTCTAAAGTGGTGTCCGAGAGGCCTTAAGTGCAACATCTTGTGAAGAGAGCTTGTGGGCTTGACTCCAAGATTCACCATAACGTCGGTGACCTGCTTACATTGTGAAATAATGACATGCAGTTTAGTGTATCGTTAATCCCATCTCACTCAGTATGACCCAGTGTTACCATGGTTACAGGCCTGGCAACCCATGAGCCGTACTTCACCATCATCAGAGAGGAGTTTAAACCCAACAAGCCCAAGCCGTGCGAACTGTGTGGACAAATGGGTAGGTTTCACTTGGAAGTATTACTTATTCAGTAATTTACTCTACGACATGTATATTGTGTACAATGTTCATTGGAGCCGCGAAGATCCGGGTAACCCATTCTTGTTGTAAGAGGCGACTCACTGGATAGGTTGGTCAGGCTCACTGACTTGGTTCATGTCATCGTATCCCTTTTGTGTGGATCGATGCTCATGCTATCAATCACTGGATTGTCTGGTCCAGACTCGATTATTTACAGACCGCCGTCATATAGTTGGAATATTGCTGAGTACGGTGTTAAACAACAAACAAACAAAAACGAACAATGACCATTGTCTCGTTTCACAGAGGTAGACACCATTGGTCAAATCCAAATCAGAGCTATATTTTGGTACAAAACACCTTGTCCCTCTGGATTTACGCTATTCTTGGACTGATGGACTTGTGGCCATGTCTATCCCTGTCTCATATTTTTTTCTGGCCTCACTTGAATGAACCAGATGGCTGTTATTGGATGATTGCCTGTGTTACATCATAATACATCATGTATAATGTATCCTCAGTTTTCATGATGTTCTAGCAAACAGTAAGTAACTTTTATAACAGAATGTTTTACTTAGTCTTGTATTCATGTACAATTGATAGCAGTGCACATGTGTAATACCAATTTTAACATCACTTTCAGGTGGTTATTTAAGCACTTTTCTGTTGGTTATAAGGTCATGAAATGAAGGAGTGTGCTGGCTTGCCAAAGGAAAAATCTGGAGAGGTAAGACACGGATTATCTCCCTTGTTGAAATAGTCTCTTTCACATTATTTTCATCTAATGCGTGCACAGTAAAATTGTTTTGACATAAAAACCATTGTTTCCTTGATGTACAGGGCCATGGGGGCCCAATTGTCTAAGGCGTCACAATTTGCTGTGCAGAGTGGCATCCCTTGGGCACACCAGAAACCAATGATTGTGGATTTGAATCCTGGTTTGCCCTGATTATGTTTCAAGGTTTGTCAGCACCATACCAGTGAGACCTGCATCTTCGGCATGATTCTTTTGTCGACCAGCCAGTTGTATTTACAAAGCTGGGAGTTTAGTTGGTACTTCTTAGTGTAGGTCCAGGAATGAAGAATTTGTTGGTTGTGAACTTTGTGCAAATGCTCTTTCTTCAGCATGATCAGATCGAGCCCTTCGTTGGTGCGGAGCAGGAGTTTATATTTCTGCGCTTGAACATCCTTCGGGAGTACCTGGAGCGAGAGCTGCAGATGGATGGGCTACCGTTTGAGTATGACTTTGAGGTGAGATTGTTATCCATATTAATTCTCACAGGATGTTTTCTGATATTGATGAAACAGTTTATGATGTTATTATGAGTTTATGAAGAAATATGTTTTAGTCTGTTTTCAGTTGTACAATTGGGTATCTCATACCTCTAGTCAACTGTATATATATATGTATTTGAGAATGAAGGCTATCTTTTTTAAGCCTTAATGCCTCCATTTTGGTGATGTGAGTATTATAGTACGAGTCTGGTTACCCATGTGTTGTATGTTTTCAGCGAGCGTTGGATGATTGGGTGTTCATGTGCTTCTTTGTGGGCAATGACTTTCTACCACATCTACCATCCTTGGAAATCAGGTAGGTTGGCCTCAGAAGCTGGGAACTGGGAACATAAATCCCTTATACCCCGCCACCAGCAAGTCAGGATGTATGTGGATTTCTGAGAGACAGAATAAATCCCTTGTACCTGCTTCGATGCAAAAAGCCACACACATTTTCCGAGTCAATGAAAATCACATGACATAGCAAAAGTTAACCTTAGCTCAATCGAACAGCTGTTATCTGTCAATTTTGATTTTGTTTTTGTTCGTTTACAATGTATTATTAAAACATGTCGGTATGATAAATTTGTTGTAGCAGGATCACTCAGGGTACATGGGGTTTCATGTGTCCCACATTTTAAAATGATAAACAATATGTACTGATATGTTCTGAGTGAAGACTTTGTCAAGTTATCGGACAAATTTCTAATAGCCAATTTCGGTAACTGTACATGACTAAAGCAGTTCTTTATTTCAGTGTTTGTTTGATGTTGTGTAATTTTCCTGCACGTCATTTCAGTGCAATTTCAGCAGTATCACCAAATCCAAGTTTTTTTGTAAGACCAGTGAACGAAATAATAGTCCATCGGGCTGTTGTATGAATAAATGGGTTTCATGTATAAATGTGCTGGTCCGGTACCTGTTATAAACTTTCAACGCTTGTTTCAGGGAGGGAGCTATAGACAGACTGATAAAGCTGTACAAGATCACCGTCTACAAGACTGGGGTAAGTATGACTGGCCATTGGGATATAACCGGGTGGATTTCAGGTTAGAATTGGTCCCCTGCGACCTATACTGGTCGTACGAGGCAATGGGTCGGGTGGTCAGACTTGGTGACTTGGTTGGTTGTGTGTCATTGTACCACAAGGGCATGGATCTTTTCCCACAGCACAAATCACTGATTATCTGATCCAGGCTCAGATATTTGCAGGCTGCGGCATTAAACAACAACAAACAAACTAGTTATAGCTTTTTGGGATTGTGAGTCAAGTACCTCATGTTTGCCATAAACAGTGTTGTCAGACACTGCTGTGCGTAGGAGCTGACTGTCTGTGTGTCTGGTTGTGATGAAGCATCTGATATTTGGAAGCTCTGTCACCATGTGAGTTTTGCTTGTCTTGTACAGGGCTACTTGACGGACAGTGGAGTGGTGTCCTTGGAGAGAGTACAACTTGTCATGGCAGGTAAGTCTGTGGTTTAACAACAGGCAGTATCACTTTACAAAAAACAACAGGGTTTCAACAAAATTCCTCTCCAGTGTAAATTATTTTCTGCATTGAATGAAACTAATACATATAGGGCTATATCAGGATATTTAGCGTTCCCTTTGGAATCTAAGCGTGCCCACAAGTCGAAAGAATGCATTTGATCTGTCTTTAACACAATGAATGTTATTTCTTCATGAGCTGGATAATAAGCAGTTAAGAAGGTTGCCCCCTTCATTTCATAAGGATTGATAATATGCTTCTGAAATCCTGAATCTCAAGATTACTTTGTGAATAACATAGTGCATGAAGTGATGTACCTCTTAGTTTCACCAGAGTGGTAAACATCTGGGACCTGCATCACACTGGGATTTCTTCCCACATTAAGCTGACATGTAACAAACATAGGTGATCCAGAGGGGGGGTCCAGAGGAGGGGTTCAGGGGGTCAAGGGGTCTGGACCCCCTTCTTTTGAAAACCAAATGTGGTATGTTGTAGGCAGTAAAATTATCTGAGAGGGGATTTTTATATTTTGGACCCCTCCCTTTTAAAAATGCTGGATCCGTCCTTGACTAAAATACTGAGTACATGGTATCAGGTGTCTCACTCATTTATGTGAATATATGCTGTTTTGAATAAGCAAGCTAACTGAAGCATAAAACCAAGAGCTTATAGACTGCAGCTAGTTCCCTCAATTGTGTGGGATTCTTCTTCTTCCAGATCTGGGTCAAGTGGAAGATGAGATTTTCAAGAAGAGACGAGAAACAGAGGTAATGGTGCTCAGTTTACTCCTTGACGCGGGATGCAAGGCATCCTTTCTAGATCTAGATCTTCTTGTGTATCATTGTAACCATGGCATCCAGGGATGTTGTTCATGCTGTCAACCACTGGTTTACTTGGAGAAAATTCTTTACCAGCAGCTGTGACATGTTGACATCCACCATGTATCTGGAGATAGACCTGTGACACGGGAGGAGTCTACAGGGTGCTAGTGTTTCTCCAGATGACAATGCACGTCTTCATGGTACACGCAAGGCCATGTTCACTAATACATACTAAACATGTTTTCATTTGGTAAAAATGTCCAGTTTCACTTGACATGCATACTGATATGTTATTTGTGACAACATTGATGATTGATGATTGGTGATGGTGATGTTGATGGTGGTGAATGGTGATGATGATGATGATGATGATGATGATGATGATGATGGTGATGGTTTCACTTGACATGCGTACTGATATGTTATTTGTGACAACATTGATGATTGATGATTGATGATGGTGATGGTTTCACTTGACATGCGAACTGATATGTTATTTGTGACAACATTGATGATTGATGATTGATGATGGTGATGGTTTCACTTGACATGCGAACTGATATGTTATTTGTGACAACATTAATGATTGATGATTGATGATGGTGATGGTGATGGTGATGGTGATGGTTTCACTTGACATGCGTACTGATATGTTATTTGTGACAACATTGATGATTGATGATTGATGATTGATGATGGTGATGGTTTCACTTGACATTCGAACTGATGTGTTATTTGTGACAACATTAATGATTGATGATTGATGATTGATGATGGTGATGGTGATGGTGATGGTTTCACTTGACATGCATACTGATATGTTATTTGTGACAACATTGATGATTGATGATTGATGATTGATGATGGTGATGGTTTCACTTGACATGCATACTGATATGTTATTTGTGACAACATTGATGATTGATGATTGATGATTGATGATGGTGATGGTTTCACTTGACATGCGAACTGATATGTTATTTGTGACAACACTGATGATTGATGATGATGATGACAGTAGCAATAGTGTGTTTCTATTTATGTTTTGCCTGTTACCATTTCAGCTTGATTTCCGGAGACGTAACAAGGAGAAGAAGATGAGGATGAAACAGGTGAGTGAAGAGGCCTGAAGGCTTTCACACCTTCTGCTGTGTGAAGGCAGGACATGTGAGACATGACATTTGGAAATATAGTCTTCATAACTGTGAACATGTAAAACGAATGGTACTTTGGGACAAATTTGATGGAGTGATAAACAGAACTCATGTTTATCTTCAGCAACGACAAGGAGACCGACCGCGATGGATGGCAGGGGGACAGTTTGCACCAAAGGTAAATAGAGGAGACTTATTGCTTACTTCAAGATTGGACAAGGGCGTATTAGCAAACAGGACCCTAGAACGTCCAGGATTGATTTTTGTAGGATCCCATGACGATCTAGGGTAGATTAGATCCAAATACTTACTGTTTGAGATGATGCATGAGGATTGGGTGGCTACAGTGTCTGACCTGGCCGCTTGGGTGTCGGCAGATCTGGAAGGTGTGGATCAAGCTGTCACTCACTGGTTCACATGGCCCAGACTCTATCACATAAAGACTGCCATGATATAACTGGAACATTGCAGATTGTGGCATAAAACAACATTCACTTTGCTTGTTTATCACATGAAGTTATGAAACATATCTTTATTACTTGTGAAATAAAATTCTGACTTTGTTTAATTAACCTTCAAACAGTAGTTGTTCTTTGCTTGTGGATAAGATTAGGCAGTTGCGGAGATGAGCAATGATCTGAGCAATAGGAGACACCAAGCAGCATTGTAACCACCTGTGAGGATCCGGGGTAGAATAGGTCTTCAACAACCCATGCTTGTCATAAAAGGCGACTGACGGGATCAGGTGATCAGACTCGCTGACTTATCATCGATTCCATTTGGTTTGATCGATGCTCATGATGTCAATCACTTGATTGTCTGGTCCAGACTTGATTATTTACAGACCGCAGTCATACAGCTGGAATATTGCTGAGAGCGGTGGTAAACTACAAACAAACTAACAAACAAACCACCCAATCCTCACTTTGTTGATGGCTCTTGTTACTTTAATACAGTTGGGACCTAATCAGGCCCTTCTCCCATTTAATTGACTCATCCCTACAAAGATGCAAAAATTTACTTGACAATTATTTTTTCCATGTTTCTGGTACTTAAGAAAGTTGCATGAATGGGTTATCTTGCTTGATGGTTTGCAGCCTGTTGGCGATGGTGCATCTCCTGTGTCCAACCCACGACAGGAGGCCTACCAGATGAGAATGCAGCAGTCAGCATCGTACTCCACATCTAGTGGAGGCTCAGCCAATCAGAATGCCGCGGAGAATGGTGGGGAAAGTCGGGGAACGAAGCGAGGAGCATCAGCAGTGGAGGATGATGAAGAAGAGGAGGAGCCTAATGATGACGTCAAGTGAGGAGACATTTGTGCAGAACCCGTGACAATCCGGGTTAGAATAGGTCCTCAGCAACACATGCTTGTCATAAGAGGCGACTAATGGGATCAGGTGATCCGGCTCGCTGACTTGGTTGATGCATGTCATCGTATCCCAATTGCGTGGTTCGATGCTCATTGTTGTCTGGTTCCGACTCGACTATTTACAGAGTGTGGCATTAAACTACGAACAAACATTTGTGCAGACTCGTAAGCACTGGAGTTAACACTGAGTAGTCTAGTGGTTAAAGCATTCGCTTGACACGCCAAAGGTGCAGGTTTGATTCCCCACTTTGGGACTATGTTCTTTGAAACAATTCTTTTGGCTCAGCTGTTTGTACTGTTGCCATCAGGGAGAATTGTGGCGAATTCAACCAACACCTCAGTATGAGGAATGTTGTATTTCCCAGAATGTTCCGTGAGGGGAGGGCACCTAGATGATGTCCCACATTGTGCATGTCTTGAGTGTATTTACTGTGAGGTCTGTTGCTATCAAGGTGGTAATGGTGAACACTTTCTTGTTTGACAGACTATGGGAAGATGGCTGGAAAGATAGGTATTACAAATCCAAGTTTGACACTGATGCAAATGACATTGACTTCCGACATAAAGTGGTGAGTAGTGACTTTCTTGACCTTGCCTTGACCTCATGCTATCTTCCACAGTTTAGCCTGGCACAGATTTGATTATTTCCAGTTTCTTTAATAACGCAGAAATACTGCTGAGTGGCATGAAACAACAAACTAATCTATGTGTCTGGCTGCCTCTGTCCTGTCACACACTACGGCAGTAAGCTTTTGTTTCCATTGTTTCAGGCTCACCACTATGTGAGAGGACTGTGTTGGGTGTTGAGGTACTACTATCAGGTGAGTACTCATTCAGACTACATACAGACTCCATGCAGACTCCATACAGACTCCAGGCAGACAACATACAGACTCCATACAGACTCCAGGCAGACAACATACAGACTTCATACAGACTCCAAGCAGACAACATACAGACTTCATACAGACTCCAGGCAGACAACATACAGACTTCATACAGACTCCAAGCAGACAACGTACAGACTTCATACAGACTGCTCGCAGACAACGTACAGACTTCATACAGACAACAGACTGCATACATAAAGCATGCATACTGCATGCTGACTTCTTACAGACTACTTACGTACTGCATGCAGACTACTTACATACTGAATGCAGATTACATGCAGACTACTTACGTACTGCATGCAGACTACATGCAGACTACTTACATACTACTTACATACTGAATGCAGACTACTTACATACTGAATGCAGACTACAGGCAGACTACATGCAGACCACTTACGTACTGCATACATACTGTATGCAGACTACAGGCAGACTTCATACAGACTACATGCAGGCTACATGCAGACTAAAGGCAGACTTTATACAGACTTCATACAGACTTCATACAGACTACATACAGACTACATACAGATTACATACAGATTACATACATACTGAATGAAGACTACTTGCAGACTACTTGCAGACTACTTACATACTGAATACAGACTCCAAGCAGACAACATAGAGACTTCATACAGACTAGAGGCAGATTACATACAGACTGCATTCAAACTGCATACAGACTAAATGCAGACTACTTGCAGACTACATACATACTGCATTCAGACTACTTGAAGACTTTATACAGACTGCATACATATTGCATACAGACTACAGGCTGACAACATACAGACTGCATGCAGACTACTAGCAGACTACATACAAACTACAGGCAGACAACATACACACTGCATGCAGACTACATACGGACAGCGACTATGTTTGTCGTAAGAGACGACTAACGGGATTGGGTGGTCAGGCTCGCTGACTTGGTTGATGCATGTCATCTTATCCCAATTGCGTGGATCGAAGCTCATGATGTCAATCACTGGATTGCCTGGTTCAGACTTGATTATTTTACAGACCGCCGTCATACAGCTGGAATATTGCTGAGTGCGGCGTTAAACAACAAACAAACAAGCAAACAAAACATTTCTAACTTACGGACTACCAAAGATGGTTTCTCTTCTGACAGTTTGAGTAAAACTTGCAACATTAACATGATTAATGAGAATACTAGAGCAGGAACAGGTCATCTCTTTTAATGTTATGTTAACATTGACATATATGTGTGGTTGTCATGTGATGACAGCCGACATCTGCTACTGAATTAAGTTCACGCTGACTTGCTTTCAGGGCTGTGCTTCCTGGAAATGGTACTTCCCCTACCACTATGCACCATTTGCATCGGATTTTGTCAACATTGGTGACCTTCCCAACGACTTTGAGAGGAACACTGCACCTGTGAGTATTAGTCCATCGGATGCTTCATGCAGATTGACATGAATATTTATCACGTAACCCTCTCTCTGGATAAATGATATATCAGAGATATGATTTTGAGACAAACCCCCTGACACACCGCTTGGATGATTAGGGCTGTTATTTCTTCACTTGAACTGTGTTACAACTAATGGAAACTTTGTTGACCTGTTGACCTTTCCCCCGATCTTGGGGAATTAAGATTAAGAACTGTTCTGTAAGTCGATGGAGCAGTCAAATGTGTAATCATTATATGTACAAATTATGGTTTAGCAGTCAGTTTTACCTAGTAAAATTTGGAGAAGAAGTTTGTGAAATACCAACAAATAGCATGCTGGAAAGTTGGCATCCTGGTTGACCCTCATATACATGTACTGAATTGGGATATCAGGCTTTCTGGGTAGAGCTAGCACTGGCCAATGTTTGAAGTGTGTGCTCCTTGGAACAGATGATGGGTGTTCTAGGATGAAGCTAGGGCTCTAGCCCTGATCAACTTTTTTTTTTGTACATGTCATGTTTGATGTGTGTGCCTCCGTTACAGTTCCAGCCCCTGGAGCAGCTGATGAGTGTGTTCCCCGCGGGAAGCAAGCAGCATCTCCCCCTCACCTGGCAGACTCTCATGGAGGAACCGGTAAGCTGAACATTCAAGAGACACAATGTCTCTTATAATGTGTATCACTGTACCTTGTTCAAGGGATTCTTTTCCTGCTGTACCATTAGGATTCCAAGTTAGAATTGGTCCCCAGCATCCTATGTTTGACATATTTGGTGGCGGGGGGGGGAGACATTATGGATCGGCTTGTCAGGCCCTGTGACTTGGTTGATTGTGTGTCACCTAATGGTGTAGGATGGTACTCATCATATCGAACACTGGTTTGTCTGATCCAGACTTGATTATTTAAGGGCCACCTTTGTATAGCTTGAATATTGCTGAGCTTTGGCTAAACAACAAACCAACAAATCTTCCGACTGTTGATATGACTGAGTTGGATTAATATGTTCTGCTGACACATGAAGATCTATGCTTGTTATAAGAGGTGACTAATGGGATCGGGTGGCCAGGCTCTCTGACTTGGTTGATGCATGTCATCATATCCCAATTGTGTAGATTGATGCTCATGATGTCAATCACCGGATTGTGTTGTCCAGACTTGATTATTTACAGAGCACCATCATATAGCTGGAATATTGCGGCGAACAAACAAACATTAACATAATATGTTCTGCTAGTACTGTCATGATGGATGTCATTGTTTGAGGCACACAAATTACATTGTTGGAAATTGATGATAATGACATCAAAACCCTGCTCTACTCTGATTGTGGAAGAAAAACAGAAGGAAATACTTAAATTGCTTATCGAAACATTTCAATTATGTGTGTTTTTAAACAGATGTTTTATTCACGGTGTGTTTAAGAATTTTACATCACACTGTTCTTTTGACAATGCTAACTTCTTACTTTGTATGAAACTGTTGTTAAGTTCTACTATATTTGTTTCAGGAATCACCCATCATTGATTTCTACCCCACAGACTTCAAGATAGATTTGAATGGCAAGAAATACGCTTGGCAGGGTAAGAAATCGACTTGTTTTGAAGGGCAGTTGCTCAAGGGGATTGAATTGGGCAGGAACTATCCAAGTTCAAATTATGCTTTTGATGTATTATTTTGGGTGAACGGTGTATTTGTTATGTTCAAAGAATAGGCATTGATTCATTCCCTGCTGTCACTCATCATCAGGTTGCTTTGATGGAGTAGTTCATGCTCCTTACACCTGGCCTGATTCCTCACACCCATATGTCTGAAACTTGTAAGAGGGATTGTGTTGCCAACGTGAGCAGGATAGTGTTTGCGACCAGCAGTAATGTTCAGTGTATAGCAGTGTTCCTCAAGGATATACCAGATGTTAACCGGTAAATAAGGTGTGGGTTGTGATGTTCAAGAGGTGTCGGACACTGTTATTGGTTGAAATGTGGTATTCCATATTTCCTTTACCATAGTGCACACTTTCCCCCGGTAATAACAGCTGTGTAGAGGAGGGATGTGGAAATTACACACCTACAATGACAGGGTTAGAAATTAACAGTAGCCCTCTAGCCCGGGGCTGGTGTAAATTCCTGCGGGCTAGTACTAATTTCCTAACTTTCCCATTGTCAGAACATTACAAGGACATTTTACCTTTACCCAAGGCCTGGTTTTGTATTTGTGTTGATGTATGCAGTTTATACTGTAATTACACTATCTGGTTATAAACAGTGTACATTGCATATCTGGACTTGTGTCGCTCAGCATCAAGGGGATAAAACAAGTATTGGTTGGCAGGGAGTCAGTGTAGTGTGTGGGAGTGGGATAGCCATGTAGAACTGTATGGTATCTCACAGCCACACTCACACAGACACAGCCATGTATGTTTCTAAGTAAGTGCAATAATCTTGAGTTAAACCTCTTTTCACTGCACCTCCTGGTCATGGATTAACAATTCAGAAATCCTCACACAGAGCTGTTCTGTTTGTAGGTGTCGCTCTGTTGCCGTTTGTGGATGAGAAGAGGCTAAAGGAGGCCTTGAAGAGTGTGTATCCTGATCTCTCAGAGGCTGAACGTAAGTTGCTGTTTTTGTAATTGATATTTTATTTCCGAGTCCCTTTTGCAGCTATGACCAGACACCCAGGGTAGTTCCTGGCTAAGGAAGAAAAGGTACAGACAGTTTTAGACAATACATACAAGGTTATGAAATGGATTCCAGAAGCTATTGTTATGCAGGTTGATACTAAAAGTAGAATTGATGTTAGAGGTATGGATATTATGGACTCAGATTTATTTTAATATTGGACATTGACATAGACATTCATTCACACTCACATCCATTCACTATCTGTACTAAGCCATAAAATGTTTATATAATGACTTCAAAACATAAATTTAAGTAAACAAGCACAGTGTTCATATTAAATCGAGATCACTGAGCTCCAGAAGTAGACAGATCCAAATTAGCTGATGGTAGATTACCTACTTAACAATTCAATACTTCGATGCAGTCAGAGCTTGACTGTTGACAGAAGCTGTGAACTTTGTTTTTCACATGGTGGTCATGTCAGGAAGTGAAGATATTAATGATGGCTTAAGTCCTCATAAGTGTTTAAATTGTTCACTTGTTTGATGTTCTATTTTTTTAATATAGTTTTTAATTGTTGTTGTTTTGTTACCATTTCAATATTATATTTTTTATTGCGAAATGATGTACTGGATTTGAGGTGCCTCTTTTCCTACCTGTTTGAGTTTGAGTCACCATTGTTTGGCTCACCATGGTGTGTGTTTGTTTCAGGGAAGAGAAATGTCCGCGGCGATGATCGCTTGTTTGTGGGCTTCAACCATCCCTCCTACTCCCTGTTTGAGGGGCTCTACGAGGGTGGAGGAACCAGTGAGGTGAGGCCCTCATGGGGTTATAGTCTCAGTGGCATCAAGCAGCATATTTCAACTTCTTGAAGTACCCGATACATGTCATTGACTAAATCAGGATTGTGTACTCTTTAGGCCACGATAAATAAATTATAAGATTTTTTGGCACTTTTTACAAAAATGGGGGGGTTGGGGGTTAAAAATGAAGGAGAGGAAATGGGCTGGGGGTAGTTGGCCGGAGGGAGTAGCCTTTACTTGTCTCCAGTCTCCAACTGAATCTTTTAACTGAAAGATATAAAACAGTTTCCTTCTGTTGTTTTGTTAAAGCCTGTAGATTTGGATGCCGGTCTGTCTGAAGGAGTCTCAGGGAAAATCTGGTGTGATGAGTATGCAGTGCTAACCGGAGGGTAAGTCATTTACACTCATGTTCAGTTGTGTAGTATGTGGTGTCTCCTGCATGGCTCATTGCCACAACTAGATGTGGTATTTTGTAAAAGATGATATGTTGTAGTTGTATAATGTAAATTCAGTGTCCCTTTAGTACATTGAAGTTTATATTGTTTCAGTGTTGTGAGATCTATTCTGCCTGAACTGAAGGATGTCGAGGATAACAGAGCCATTGGGTGAGTCTACAGTCTGGAGTGTGGCATAATGCAGGGACTAAACAGGGGAGACAATCCATAACAGAGCCATTGGGTGAGGTGTCCAGTCTGGTGTGTGGCATAATGCAGGGACTAAACAGGGGAGACAATCCAGGATAACAGCCATTGGGTGAGGTATCCAGTCTGGTGTGTGGCATAATGCAGGGACTAAACAGGGGAGACAATCCATAACAGAGCCATTGGGTGAGGTGTCCAGTCTGGTATGTGGCGTAATACAGGGACTAAACAGGGGAGACAATCCATAACAGAGCCATTGGGTGAGGTATCCAGTCTGGTGTGTGGCGTAATACAGGGACTAAACAGGGGAGACAATCCATAAAAGAGCCATTGGGTGAGGTGTCCAATCTGGTGTGTGGCGTAATACAGGGACTAAACAGGGGAGACAATCCAGGATAACAGCCATTGGGTGAGGTGTCCAGTCTGGTGTGTGGCGTAATACAGGGACTAAACAGGGGAGACAATCCATAACAGAGCCATTGGGTGAGGTATCCAGTCTGGTGTGTGGCGTAATACAGGGATTAAACAGGGTAGACAATCCATAAAAGAGCCATTGGGTGAGGTGTCCAATCTGGTGTGTGGCGTAATACAGGGACTAAACAGGGGAGACAATCCAGGATAACAGCCATTGGGTGAGGTGTCCAGTCTGGTGTGTGGCGTAATACAGGGACTAAACAGGGGAGACAATCCATAACAGAGCCATTGGGTGAGGTATCCAGTCTGGTGTGTGGCGTAATACAGGGACTAAACAGGGTAGACAATCCATAAAAGAGCCATTGGGTGAGGTGTCCAATCTGGTGTGTGGCGTAATACAGGGACTAAACAGGGTAGACAATCCAGGATAACAGCCATTGGGTGAGGTGTCCAGTCTGGTGTGTGGCGTAATACAGGGACTAAACAGGGTAGACAATCCATAAAAGAGCCATTGGGTGAGGTGTCCAATCTGGTGTGTGGCGTAATACAGGGACTAAACAGGGGAGACAATCCATAACAGAGCCATTGGGTGAGGTGTCCAGTCTGGTGTGTGGCGTAATACAGGGACTAAACAGGGGAGACAATCCAGGATAACAGCCATTGGGTGAAGCGTAAAGTCTCGGGTTGTGGCATAACAGGGGAGACAATCCAGGATACCAGAACCATTGGACAAGTCTACATACAGTCTGTATTTCATAGGAAGGCCTAAAGTTTTGTATGAAACATATGTTGCTTCCAGAGTGCAAGATAGGACATACAAGCCCATTCACTCATTCATGCAAAAAGCTGAAACCTGCTGTCCCAGTTCTAGGGTTATTAAGACAGACAGGCCAACACAGAGATACCAACCCATTTAGACAATTGATACAAACCCATTTGGACAATCGATACAAAGGACTACTACAAATTACTCCATCATGATTGGTTTGAAAAATTGCAAAATATTAATGCCAAAAAAAGTTAATTAAGTTAATCCATACTTTTGACCATTGTTCAAACTTTCAGCAGACACGTCTCTTGTCGTTATTAGCGATGGCAGTAAGGGTTAAGGACCAAATGCAGGCTTAAGAAATGGGAGTAAAACAATTCAAGAATACACCATCAGTTTTCTGGTGTTTGAGGAATCACACAGTCATGACTAACATGCATTTTGTCATGGGATGTGTTCATGTTTTCCAAAGCTCATAAGGGCCATTTGATATATTGTTGAAATCTAGTGTTGGCATAACAAAGTAGACACAACTTATGGATAACAACTTCATTATTTTCTGGAAAGGTGATGTTTCGCTATAGACCCTTAAATCATTTGGCAAGCACCGTTGCTTGACAACGGTATAAGGATCTTTTCTGAAAAGTCGCCTTTATAGTATATAAAGAAGTTGTTATCCAGAAATATCCTACTTTGTCATCTGTCAACTTGTAAGTAATGCCTATCAAACAATCTGGTGCTGGCATCTCTGTTCATTCTTCCCTCTTTCACCAGTGTTCACTTCAAGGATCCCAAGTTTGATGAAGATCATCTCTTCCCTGCCAAGATCCTGCCTGGCGCCAAGTAAGTTCTTCCACCTTTTTAACCGTTCTAGACAACACATGAATATTATTTTCATGTAGTGGGGTGGCCTAGTTGTCAAAGTCACACTGAAGACCCAGGTTTGATTCTCCACATGAGTACAATGTCTGAAGACCCGTGAAGATCTGTGTAGAGAATAGGTCTTCGGCAACCCATACTTACAGTAAGAGGCAACTGTGCTTGTCGTAAGAGGCGACTAACAGAATCGAGTGGTCAGGCTAACGGACTTGGTTGATGAATGTCATTGTATCCCAAGTGTGTAGATTGATGCTCATGATATCAATCACTGGATTGTCTGGTCAAGACTCAATTGTTTACGGACTGCCATCATATAGGTGGAATATTGCTGAGTTTGATGTTAAACAACAAACAAACAAACAAACAATGCGTGAAACCCTGTTTCCACAGCATGCCTGATAAGGTCTTGAAGCCAGAGGACTTTGTGAAGATGTTCCGCAGCCAGCAGGAGCGAGGGCGTGGCCGGGGACGCGGTGGGTACCGTGGCGGAGGCCGGGGTGGGTTGGGCTATAGACCGCAGCTTGGCTTCACCCCCAACAGTGGCTACAGACAGGATAAAGACATTTCTTCAGCCCTCAGGATGATCAGGTCAGTACACTGCCAGGACACTGTGGAATGTGTCCTTTTCTTCACAAACATGTTGATATTCAATATATGGTTAGAGGCAAGAAGGCCTAGGCGACTATGCTTGTCGTAAGAGGTGACTAACAGGACCAGGTGGTCAGGCTAGCTGACTTGGTTGATGCATGTCATCGATCCTAATTGCGTGGATCAATGTTCATGATATCAATCACTGGATAGTCTGGTCCAGACTTGATTATTTACAGACTGCCGTCATATAGCTGGAATATTGCTGAGTGCAGCGTTAAATAACAAACCAACCAACTGGAGGCAAGTACCGTATTTTCGTGAGTATAGTGCACACTTTTTTTCCAAAAAACACAGCTGGGTAGAAGGGAGTGCACATTATACACGCCATGATGAGTTTTGATGTTTTTTTCCCCCAACGCAAAGACACTACTGTGAGCACGTAACTCCGGAAATACCATGTCAACAAATCCCTACTGAAGTACGCAAATTTATCATGTAATTACACTGCCTGGTTATAAAAAATGTTCATTGTATATCTGGACTTATGTTTGTAACTTATTTCATTAATTTTATTCAAAATTCCTTTTAATATTGTCTTAATTTATTTTGTCAAAATCGTATGTGACGCAATGGGAAGATCGCACAACTCACTATTATTAACAGCAACCATGGTCAGATTACCGCTATTGGCGCCTTCAAAAAACTTTAGTTGACACATAATGGATACATATATATCATAAATATGATATAAATAAATAAATAAATAAATATGAATAAGTTTAAAATGCTTTTATATAAATTTCTGACATCATTGACACCATAAACCAAAATAATTGAGAAAGTGTAACCTTAGTCTCTTGATGGCTGCCTTTATAAAACAGACTGCAGAGTAAAATACATTCTCCATGCGGGAATCCTGAGGCACAGTCCCAGTACCCCATCATGAGAGCCAACCAAATGGGGATCTGGTGGCTTCATGGTGATATAGATGAAAGCTCATGCCATCAACCATTGGTTTGGCTGGACCATAATTTTTATAGGCTGCTGTGATATAGCTGGAATATTGCTGACTGCAGCGTAAAACAAAACAAGCCACAAATCACCTCAAGAGACACGTTCTGTTACAGACATGAGAGCCAGGCCTACGGAGGTGGTCAGAACTTTGTCATGTCGTCCCAGAGCATGCATCACTCTCAGTATCATGGCGGCCGCAACTACGGAGGTAAGATGTCCGGAGAGTTTCATGTACTGTGTTTTGTCTAGGTCCTTCTCACATTCTTACATTCTTACATTCTTACATTGTGGCGACCTCAGCTCCTTGCTACAGACTTTCTTCTTGTAAAGGAAGGGGCCAAACATGGCTCTGAGAACCTAGCGGTTTATGGTGACAAACATTGTGACGGTGAGAGCCGTGCTGTTGACTGCAGACGGCTGGGGTACTTTTACGAGTTTGCTTCATACTGTTTTGTCAGACACTAGTGGCTTCACTCACGTCCACTGCTCAGCTGATTGTCAAGGTAATAAAAGAACTTTCAGTTATATGAACCGTCACAATGCGAACTGGGGAAACAGCTGTTGTGTTTGTGCTATTAGTGGTGCTTTTATTGGTGCTTCGTTCGATTGTGTGAGCAAGAGTTACTCCCCTTGCACCACATTTTGCTGCCTCGCACTGAGGAATTTACTGATCAATACACGCAGACGATTCAGCTTGCATATTGTTGTATTGTATGGTGTTTAAAAAGATCAAACATTGATCAATCATCTTAGACATCACAAGATAACATAGTTGGAGTCAGATTTGTGCCAGTAAATGGTAAAAATTCATGTTTATGAATTTTCTTCTCCGAACCTCTAGACCCAGAGAGGTGTATCTTTATGAGAATGACAGTGTCAGTGAAAATAGATTATCGTTCATTTCAGAAACAGCTTTGTCAAAATTAGTGATACTAACATGAATATTTGTAACCATAGAAATGAAACATTACATTGATTGATTACACTGGATTGTCTCGTTGACTTAATGATTTAGATGCCACCATCATATAATGTAATAGTGCTGAGAGCGGCATGAAACAACAAACACTGTTTCAACCACGTGCTACGGGGTGATTTCAAAATTAACGGTTAACTCATAAATTGGTTTGTACAGAACTAAATTGTGAAGTCAGTAAATGACCGCATACGATCAATGAGTAATAACAAAATTATGTTGAAACACACAGTTTTAGGTCTACAATCACAAAAGGCAATACAATGTGTCATAATTGGTCCCAGCAATAAGAAGCAAGTCCAACAATATATGTCAGTGAATGTCTCATGAATGTCCCAAATTTTTACTGTCGAATGTCTTTAAACAGGCCTGTTTTTGTTCTTTGGCAGGAATTAGTTTTTTGTAGATAAGACAAGTCTGGTCGTTCAAGGCCTTCAATCGCCCTTGTGTTGCTTGTATAGGTACAGCCAGCCTTTTAGAAACTTTCCAATCCAGAGACTCCTTGAGTGATCAAGCCTGCCATGTTTATTTAAAACAAGGGGAGGTAACTCTGAATTCAACTTATTCGATTCCGCCGACAACCCTCGACCATTTTTACCAGCGTTTCAATCATTTGCTCTGACTGACAATAACTACAAATAAACATACAACAATATCAACTGCCACATAACAGAAGCCAGCATGCCTTGTGAGTTAGATACTGATACAACTCACACTTGTTTTTATCATTAGATAAGAAACAAAGCCCAAGTCTCAGCGCTCCAGATAAGCTTTTGTGGGTATTTTACCCATGCATTTTAAAATCATTGGGTATCAGTAATTCTATCTGGGTATTCAAATTTCTGTTACCCACTAGATTTACACATGTGGGTATTTAAGTTAAATATTTAAAAACGCTATTCATCTAGTCCCTGCAAACTGGTGTCGTGTGGGTTCGAGAGCTTTATAGGACTCAAAAATACCACGATACTTCCACAAGAAAGTGTGATGGCAAATGATCATGATGTATCATCGTGGGGTTTGGCAAGGTTGACGGAATGCCCGTTTATAATTTTAAAATAAGTTGCTGATTTGCTAATCGAATACGCAGGGTTACTTCACAATATTTTGATGATACGCACAAGTTTTATTTTTGTAGCGTATGTGTAATGTTTTCGTTGCGTATTTGATACGCTTGGATTTTGTTTTACTGCATATTTCTGCATTTCTGATGCGTATTTTACGCAGATACGCAGCTTATCTGGAGCTCTGAGTCTGTTACACTTTTATAGCCCTGTGTCTAGATTTTCAGAACGATCTTAGCTACGATAAATCTTAACAACTTACGTTCAAAGATAAGATATCTTAAGTTTAAGATAGGTTACATTTTCGAAACTATCGTAAACCTGTCGCAGATCGCACAAAAATACGACAGCTATCGTAACTCTGACAGAGAACTCATTTGTGAGATTGAAAAAGCAGGGCTGAAAATACAACAACATGGAGAAGGGACACGGAATTCATGATCACATTGTCAGGTCACACTGTTTGACACGCAACTATTTGAGTGAAATTCTGTACAATCCTACATATGTCCTATATGTAGACGTTTTGTTCTTATGATAAATGATGCCATGACTACCCGAACAAGAACATTTCTGACGTGAAATCATTGATAAATTACTGGCACTACCATGTAATGGTTAGTGTTACGTAGAGGAAAATGTCCGAGTAACTCTCAATTCCTTAAAAATAATGGCGCATTTTAAGGAATGGAGAGTTACAAGGATATTCCCCTACTTAAATTTTAAAACTCATCCCTACTTTCACACTTTGACAAAATATTCTGTTGTAGAAAATATTTGAAAAATACACCAGAACTCTTTGTTGTCTTTATTTATGCTGCGTGAGTCGCCCTTGCGTGATGCACAAGGAATGCGTTCTCTGCCGCTGATGCACGTGCGCCAAGCTCCGTTGCGAGCTAACATTTACAATGCATGGTACACGGCTCTTCATAATTTTGTTGGGTCCTAAACTAGTATTTATCAATCGCTTGCACATTGTTAATACTTGCTGACAGGAATAATAGGAAATATAGAGCCACGAACAAGGATATATATATATATTTCCTGATTTGTTTTTTCTCGCCAAAGGTTTATGTAAACCTATTGCTATAAATATGAACATTGTTGTAGGTAACCTGCTCTAACACCGTATTATGTACATATTATTTTTAGCTTTCTAGCATTATGCAAAATTATGGAAATATTTAATAATTAATTTCACATGATTCCCTCATCTGCCGCCGTAGTTGAGGTTGACAATTACACGTTCTCAAATCAATGGGGGTTCGAAGCCCCCTGGTGACATATGTTTTTCGGAAAGAGATCATAATTATTTATAGTCAATAAATGTTAAAAATAGTTCCGTCTATTCCAAATGGACATTAATTCAAATGCTGGTGCAAGATAATGTATGGTTGACAAACAACTCTCCATTCCTGGAAAATAATGGAGACGTCACAGAAGTGTTTTAACATGCGAGGAACCAATCTGATATACTTGGTATCAGGATCCGATATATATGCAAATGAGGCACCCTAAGAGGAACTACTTTAACAAGCTCCATGCATTGATGCAAGGTATGTTGCTCAATAAACTGTTGCTCTCAGATAGTCTAGATAGTTTTTCCCAATGTATTGATGTTTCTGTTCACAAATATTGGCACTATGTGATACTAAATCATGGCTCTAGCATTGTGTTTATGATGTGGTTTCTAAAGATACTTCAGTGAATAAAGGGGCGGCCGGGTAGCCTAGTGGTTAAAGCATTTGCTCGTCACCCTGAAGACCCGGGTTTGATTCCTGACATGGGTACAATGTGTGAAGCCCGTTTCTGGCGTCCCCCCGCCGTGATATTGCTGGAATATTGCTAAAAGACGGCCAAAAACCATACTCACTAACTCACTTCAGTGAATGAAATAACACAGTAAGCACAGGTAATTTAAGAATGACGTATGATACAAAGAGTTTACCCTTGTGTTTTTCCACATCGTAATTTCATTTATCAGGAACTAAAAATATGCAAGCCTTTGGTGAGCACAATACACTTTTTAATCCTAATATACTACTCAAAAGAAGTTAAAGAACACACATTTTTTTTTCCATAGGATTATAGTTAATCTGTCATGACATAAAAGATAAACTGTAGTGATTTGAAAAAACTGTTCTTTAAGTAGTATATGTGCTATTTATAGTAAGGAAACACTTACCTAATCACCTATGTGTGTAAATAACAAAGAACAAGGGTACATAACTCTAGGGCTGGCTGTCGAGACATATCATATAGATCAATAATCGTTAACTACCGGGTAAATATCAATCAATTATCAATAAATATATCGGAGAAGCAGCTTTGAGCAAATACACACACAAAATTTCCCAAGGAAATCAACATATTTCACTCCACTGGTGAGTGGTGGCACATTTATGCAGAGATTACTTTGTTGACATTTGAGACATAACAAAAAACAGCTACTTCCCATCTTTAGCAATTGACATTATTGACAATAACAGTTCTGTTTGGGTAAATCTAAATTTATTTCATCACAATAGTTTTTGTGAGATATTATCGATGACACAATTTTTATATTGATAATCCTTTATATTTTTCTCCATCGATGATAATTCCGATAATCAATCTTTTTTTTGCCTACGTTACTCAACTGATTATAATCCATACACACTCGTAAATCAGCACACACCACTTCCCTCCCATTAACATAAAGCAGGTGCAGATTGGGATTGAACCCTCAGTTGTCTCCACCTCTTGTCAGAACATGTCTGTTACTTGCTAAAGCCAGTGAAGATTGCAGACCAGAGCAGGCCCCCAGTGAAACTAGAAACTAGTTCTGCAACATGATGTATCCGCTGTTTGTTTATTGTTTGCAGTGAGCAATATTCCAGTTATACCACAGCACCCTGTATATTATCATTTCCCAGATGACCGATGGAGACCTGTGTTGGAACCGGCTGTCACATTCTCTTGATCAACTGAATCTAATCTCGGTGACATGGTTGATTGCGGTTCAGTTTTCATCATGGCTTGATGATGTGGGATGTTCCTTATGGCATCTACTATGGTTTGCTTGATCCGTCCTCGATCATTTTAGTCTGCCAGGATATAGCTGGAATATTTCAGACTGGCGTAAAACAACATTCACTCATTGAGTTGGGGTGGTTTCAGAGGCCTCTG